GTTTTTATTGGCCGGGAATGACTGATGATGTTGCCCGCTGGTGTCAAACTTGTCAACCTTGTTCAAAGAAAAAGCCAGGCCCTGGACAAGGAAAGTCCCCAATGCAACACCTTGAAGTATTTGGTCCTATGGAATGTATTGCCATCGACATCTTAGGTCCCTTACCATTAACTAGAGAAGGAAAACAATACATTATGGTTGTTGGAGATTATTTTTCCAAATGGAAAGAGGCATTTGCATTGGAGGATCATACAGCACAGACGGTTGCAGATAAACTTGTAACGGAAGTAATATGCCGCTTAGGCATACCATTTAGAATTCATACCGACCAAGGCCGTGAATTCGAATCGGCACTGTTTGCTGAGTTGTGTTCTCTCTTGGAGATAATAAAATCTCGTACCACGCCATACCACCCTCAATCCGACGGTATGGTAGAGAGATTCAACCGCACACTCCAGCAAATGTTATCCATCTTTGTCAATGAGAACAGATCTAATTGGGATGACCACTTGCCATATTTGATGATGGCCTACCGTGCCACGGTTCACGAGAGTACAAAATGTACTCCCAATCTGGTCATGTTAGGGAGAGAAATCAATCTGCCCATAGATGTTATAGCTGGTACAACTCCTACAAATACACCAGAGATTGGCTGCTATCATTCTTACGTAGAATGGATTCGCAATACCATGGAAATGACATATGGAATTGTTCATGAAAACTTGCGATCAAGTTTTAAGAAACAAAAACGATACCATGATGTTAGACTGAAGCCACGGGAGTTTGCAATAGACGATCTAGTATGGAGATGGTACCCACCAAAAGCAAACCAAAAATTAGGATCCGGTTGGACAGGACCCTACAGGGTTGTTTGGAAATTCTCAGACATAACCTATGAGATAAAACATGAAACAACAGGAAAAACAGTTGTGGTCCATGTTGATCACCTGAAGCAACTGCACGGTGACGGAATTGCAGAGAATCAATATGATTCTGACAATGACCAAGACGAATCTTGTCTGTACGATGAAAATTCAGATTCCGAATATGTTACTATGAGCGATCAGGAGGAAATTGAGCCTTTGGCTTACAAATCGCCAGATCTGGATGCGGTTCAATCGAGACGCGCTGATGCTTTCTCGCGGAAAGGAAGGCTCATAAAACCCGTTTCTCGATATTCTCCTTAGAAAAATAAATAAGATAAATATATTTCTTGGGGGTGGTGTTTATGTTATTTGTTTGTTTTAATGAAGTATAATCCTATGGAAGACCCAATTTTATGTCTGTTGAGGACATGATGACATGTAGTACATGGTATAAATTCCTACGGTTGGAATTGGGTAGATTTGTTTTGTATACACCATGGGTTTAGCTTTCGGTGTCTTATCTACCAGGTGTTATTTCCCATGAGAGAATAGTGATTCTCTGAGTGATGGGATGTGTACTTGTTGTGTCGGAGAAATGACAGTTGTCATTGTTGTATAATTGGGTGGGGATAGGTTATACACCCATGGAAAAGTGAACTGCCTATATAGGCAGTTACTAGGCAGTTCTTTAGCAGTTTTACTAATTTTTAGCAGTTTTCAAACAGTTTCATGCAGTTTGATTTTTACTGCTCCCTAGTAACTGCTAGGACCTTGGGAGTAAACAGTTTTCCTTAGCAGTTTTTAAGCAGTAATCAGTGTCCCTAACAGTTATATCTTAGCTGCATATGCTTGAGGACAAGACAGTTTTCCTAAACAGTTTTGTAAGCAGTATATAAGCAGTTTCCTTGTATAATTTGATTGGGTTCAAGAGAAATTTAAGCTCAATGTTCCAACAAATATAACAAAAAGCCAACAACTGACCGCCAAAATTGAATTCTGGGTGCCAATTTGTATAGTTGGACAAAGGCTATATAAACCAATGAAGAGGGAGCCTGCTGGCCATAAGCTGCATTTAGATTTAATGAAGAAATGATGTAGTCATTTAACAATTGGTAAGTAATTACTACAATATATATGTGGCCTTTAATAAAGAGATAAATTGAATACATATGTTCTGTTCTAATTTTTTGTTTGAATTAAGGACATATATTAATAATTGCAATCTGTTTCATGATTAATTCCTTTCCATTTACAGACTTTTAGAAGAGGAGTGGGACAATATTCTCGTTGGCATACACAAATTTTTGTGTCTCTTTCTACTGAGATCAATGGATGATCTATAAACCTAGCTGAGCAATAAATTATTATGATTACCAAAAGAGTGCCAATTGAAATACTTTTGTGGTTTACATAAGGATAGAAAAACCAAACAATGTACTGGCCTTTAGTGCAATAGGACTTCTGTATAATCAGGACTTAATGCGGGATGAAGTGGATATATATTTATTGCTGTTACTTAATTTTGACATTTTAATCATACCTTCAGTGTTGAATCTTGTTGAGCATCATATGCCCTGGGATATATAAGTTTTCTAAAAAGTCAGTGAGTATAACTGCATGGTTGTTTGTGTTAATAAGATACATGTAAAATTACAGATGCATAAAACAGTACTAGTGTTTAATTTTTTTTTAAACATTCATCATAGCAAATTCTGATTGCTTGATTGTGTAGTTAATCAATTGTACAAAATACAATAAATTAAAATGTAACAATTGATCTATTATTGTCATGTATTACAATTTTGATACGAGAAAACCTCTTCGTGACTCATTAATATTTATGTGATAAAAGGGAAATAGATAAGCAGTATACTGTAAGTCCACAAGCAGTTAGCAAAAACTGCTAAAGTAACTGCCTATGAACTGCTTAAGTAACTGTCTATGAACTGCTAAGAAACTGCCTATGAACTGCAAAGAAACTGGTAAGGCTAAGAAAACTGCTTATAAATTGCAAAAGGTTTGTTCATCCATCAGCAATCTGGGGAAGGTTAAGTAACTGCTCTAGGACTGCTTAAATGTTTAAACTGTTAAGGCTAAGAAACTGCTTAATAACTGCCTTCCACTTTGCCATGGGCAGTTTATTTATTTTCCTTTCCAACTCTTTGCTGTTATAATGCAAGGTTTATTAGTAAAAAGAAAATCTTCATACAGTTCTTTAATGGTAAGCAAATTCTATTTCAGGCTACAGATTTTCTTGAATTATTCGCGGACATGAGTGAAGTCAATGCTGTCCTTGGACAGTGCCAGACCGACTTTATTGAAATCCTCTACGATCCGTCAGGAATGGTCTGCCCCGTGCTTGGATGTAAAGGGACAAAGTTTCCCTCCAAATCAAAATTCTCCCGACACTGGGAGGAGAGACACAAACTGTATGTCACCAAATTTATATGTTCCGTTAATGGGTGTAGCGCGGAGTGTAGGCGGAAATCAGACATGAGGACCCACATTCGCCGAGCACATGAGAGCAATCAGGACAGAGTGGAATTCATACTCACTAAGTGTGATGTGATCCAGAGGGAGAACAAGGGTTATTTAGACCCAGGTCTATATATATTTAAAGGAGGATGCCTGAGAGAAACTACTGACCCAGTAGTGACCCAGGAACAGGAGGAGTCCACTACAGATGATGGAATAACGCCGGTGGATGTGGAGAGTAGATGTTCTACTCAGACTGAGCCCACTGCACCAACAACCGACCTCAAGGAAGAAGAGCTGGAGACCAGCAGCAAGAAGAGAAGGCTTACTCTACAGGAGTACAGAGACAGGGAGGTCCCAGATCACCGGTCTACAGGGACCCAAACAACGTGGGTGAACCTACCCAGCCTCGACCTACCAAACCTCCCAGAGGCAGGCAATTCAGAGGAACTGCAGTCGTGCCTCATGTGGCTGTGCAACAGCATGGACGTAGTAGGACGAGCGAGAGCATTGGTGAAAAAGAGGATAGAGGACGGTGAGCGAACGGAACTGGAGCGAGAGAGGGAAATGAGGCGTCAACTGGAGAAGAAGAACCGGGAATTAGAGGGCGAGATCAGGAAGTTGCGAGCGATGGACACACTGTTTGAGGAGTGAATGCGACCAATTGTGATTAACTGTGTAAATATGTGAAAGTTGTGGAATTGTTTATTTATTGTTTAAAAAGTGTGTTTATTACCGTACATGTAATTGATTGAATGTCTGCTATCTTAAAGTTTCTGAATGTTGATACATGTGTATTCTAATTTTATAATAATTGAATTTTAATGTATGTTACTTTGAAGTAATACTTGTATTTATTAGATATACATGTGATTTTATTTGGACTAATGTGTATTTTCATCCACATTAGATCTTAAGGAAGGGGGAGTGTGGTGGTTTTTACATGTATTTAATTAAAATTGTATGTAATTACAGTGTATTTATGTATATGTGCCTTATTTTATTCATATTTCCCTCTATTTGTCATTACTTGTTGTTTAGAGTTATTCCCCTTTGTTTATAACCCGTTCGGGTTGGGCGCGCCCGGGTCTATAGTACCCGGCCGGGGTTTACTATTATTATATGCTATGTATATTGTGTAATCAGAAGAGTCTACATTATCATTAATTACTGATCAGACGTATTTTTGGGGACTGGGGCTAAATTTCTACAATGGTAATTATTGCATTCTTGGATTTTATATGATATTGTTTCATATCTTTTACGTTTGTTTGTAAATTGTAAATATTGCAACAGAATATAGTAATTCTTTAAACACTGAAATTCTTGTTATTCTTTTATCCTTTGAACTCGGACTATATGTACGGGACTAACCCCTAGACAGTCCCGTTACAATATAAATCTGTATATTACCTATAACCAGATAAAATTTCAAGGAGATATCGAGTTTTGTTAGTTTTCAATTGGTAATTATTTTTGACTGCAAAATAACATTACAAAAAAGGCCAGAAAAGATCAGCATTTAAAGTCCGCTCAGCATATCCTATTTGGAAAAATTCATGTTTTAACAATCTTTCCTTTTTTTCAATTATTGTTCTAGACCTGAGGTAAAGTGAAGAAATATTTGTAGAGGATGGAGGGTAGTACAAGGGACCGATTTAAATCCCTGCCAGATGGAGAGGTCCTTCCTCCATATTTCCTCACCCCACAATCTGCCCCAGGAGGAATTCATCTTAAGAAAGTTGTCTTTCTTGGATATACTGACATGGCTGCAGCTGGAAGGTTTTTCTTGGACAAATTTCAAGAATTTTAGTTCACTCTTTATCTGAGTTATATATTTTGCTTTTTAACTTTTTAGCTTTGAATGAAGATTTTCAAATAACTTAAAACCTCTACAATGCTTACTAAAATCAGTCTTTGAAAACAGCATCAAGAGTTATGCCCCTTTATACATTGGGATTACTTTGTTCATGGGAACTTGATCGAAAAGGTTTTACTGACTTTTATTAATACTACTGTAGATTCCTTATTTTTTGTGATTACTTATTATCGCGAATGGGCTCATCAACGTCAAATCTCAAAAGTAATAATTAGCGAATGAATAATTGGTCAAGAGATTTTACATAGATTTCAGCACCATAAAAATGAAGGCGAGTAATTTTATTTCGTGTGTGGTGCATAGTGTGGTGTGCTGAAATAACACGATAATTAATTCCACATGTATATTTAGTAATCTACAGTATCAAGTGGAGCCATATCTTTAGGGGGGAAAAAATTCATCAAATCACCTTGCTCCCTCCCCCTCCAAAATCAATCTAAAAGACATGCATACAACAGACATTTTTAATGGAGATGTGCAATGGTAATGGATTCTAAAAGGTAATAGCTTTACAAATATAGTCTCTTTAGCCTAATTCGTCCTGTTGCTTTGGTTTCCCGTCAAGTTGTCCTAATAAATGAAGCATCGATCTGATATCTGAAATCTATTATAAAGCCTAATTGATTGATCAGTCTGGAGCTATGAACCAAAATACAATGTAATAATGCATTTTGTGGTTTAAAAAAAAGGCTTTATGGATAGGTAACACAGAATTCTGGATAAATTGATTAAATGAGCCAAAATAATGCTTAAAAACTGTTCCCAACAAAAAAAAAACATCTGGAAGGTGAAGCATCTGGATATCTGAAGGTCGAATGTATAATATGTACTATATTCTATTTGCTAGCACTAAGCCCTAAAATTTTGCCACTTGTCGTACTTTTTGGCAGTCGAGCATTATTTGGTCTGAGTATGGGTAAGGAGTATGAGACAGTAAAGATCCATGGACTGGAATCCGTGGAAATTGTGTGTAGGAGGGCGGAGCCTGAGGGGGCCACAGAGAGGAAGTTAGAGGCTATCCAAATCCTCCACTGTAAATATGAAGAGGTAATGAGGAAGGTGTGGGATTATGTGCAGAAAATATATGATACTTAAATCAAAATATTTGGCACTAATGAAAATATGTCACACTAATTTAAATGAGGAATGTTGACAAACCTGCTCAGGGGAAAAAAAATACATGTAGCAATATTCTTTTCTATGGTAGAATTTCAAAACTGCTGGAATGGACTTCTGTTGCATTTGTTAACCTAGTCACTAATGAAATGCACAAATACAAACATATTAATTAGAATAAACCATTGAGACAGTAATAATTTTACCTTCATGAACAGAATTGAAATGAGATTATTAAATATTAGCTCACCTCGACGAAGTCGAGATGAGCTTATATGCTATACCCCTGTTAAAGTCGAAGCCATACTTTAACCAAATAAGTATTGGTGTATCTACTGATGGAAACTTCCAGACTAGCTTAAGTCCTAATAGAACCAAAATTGCATGGCTATTGATCTCTGGATGCACTCACTTACTAAAAAAAAAATTGCCTTGCTAATAGACAACATTCATCAAAGCTGAGCTTTGTAATCTTTGATTTCCTATGTTTATATGTTATGTAATATAGTCATCTGTCCACAAGTTGTCTTAAAAAGTTGTGAACAGATTTTGATAAAATCTGAGGAAACAGTTTCCTTCTTGGAATGATCAAGATTCCAAGGCTAAAGATATTATAAATGTATTTTTTTTTTTCCATTTTTCCTATCTTCAACAAATGTAGGAATATATCTCAAAAAGTTATCAATGACAATTAATTTGGAGGAAAAAACCAAGGGTTTTTAAAACTCTACATTTGGGAAACCTATAGTACTTACAGTAACATATAAAGGGATATAACTTTATGAACTGAGAAGTTAACACTTTCCGACTGCCTTTAACAGTTTTTTTAAGAGGATTAGAATATCAATGTTTTTAAAACCAATAATGTGACCAAACACTTAAATGTCCCACACTGCTTTTGCATTTCTATTACAAAGACTGGTATATATTCCATTAAATAATAAAGAGTGAATTTTAATGGATAAGTTGAAGTACACTTACTTGCAGTATGCAATCTGTTGTTTGTGTTGTGTTCTAAATGTTGTCTTTGTAGTGCAGATGAGCCCAGCACACGTTTGGTGTGATCCTTTGGTGTCACCTCAATGCATTCCTATACATTCATGTCAACTAACAAACTCTTATATTTCACACAAGTATGAGAGGTAAGAATCACCTTTATCTTTCAGTGTCAATCTCAAAGTGTACTCATATTTTCCAGTGAATTTTGTGAGGTAAAATATTTATTGTTGATGATTTGTTATTCATAAAATTATGTTAGATCAACTCAAAATTTAAATTAGGTATTTTCTAATCATTTTATTTTCACTTGTAACAACCCTACAGATATTATTGATTACATTGATAAAAACTAAAGAAGTTAACTCATAAATATTAAATACATATATGTATTCCAATGTGTGTTATCTGTTTTTACAGTTCACTTTGCTGGTTTTCAACTGTTTGATCCCTGCCTCTGTTTGCCATCACGTAGCAGACAAGATTCTAAGTCTCTGTGTAGAAAGGTCTGTATAGCACATTTATCACCCCTTATATTATATGTTCTGATACAATGCACTTTGATGGTATGTGTATAATTTTAATGTCACCCTTGTAGTAATGTGAAAAAGTTGGTAATTTTGACAACACAGAAAATCTTACAACTTGATGAATTTGATGATGAAGTGAAGCCTATTTATGAGAATGCCTACAATACTGATCCTGGTGAGACTGATATTAATAATAATACATGCACAGTAATGCACGCTTATTATGAAGTGCCGGGGACAGACAATTTTGCTTTGTTATAAACATTTTTCGTTTTATCCATTAATTATTCCCTTTATTTCAAAGTGAATAGGAATGAAAAATCACTTCACTATAAGCGTCAATTCCTTATAAGCACATTTGTTATAAGTGTGTTATGTGTGCATGCATAAATAGGTGTTTTTCTTTTGTAATTTTTACTGAATACTGTAAACCATTGTTATTTGCAACATCTTTTATTTACGATAAATTAATTTGAGATATATGCATAATACATATACTTAGTTAAATGATACTATGCAAAAACAAAATAATATGTAATGGTTTGCTGTGAGAATTATTTGTGAGTCAAAGAAGATCGCATCACTAGTAAATATCTCTCAGATGTGAACAATACATTGTAGTTGGTTTAAAGTAAAAGAAGTTTATTAAAGTTTTATGAAAAAAAACTGCATTTCAGTGACAAAACACCTGCCATTCCCAAAGGATACAAAAATTATGGATCCTTTCTTGTCATCATTAATACAGATGATTCAGGTATGTATTTCAGTAAATTAAGATTTTTAGCTCACCTCAACGAAGTTGGGGGGAGCTTACATATATTGCTTTGTTAATAAGTTTTTTGGAGCAGTTTTCTTTTCAAGTACTTCTATGTCCTATATTGATTAAACATGCATGGAAGATGTTTCTAATGTGTTTCATTGTACCAGTCAAAGTTTCAGATGCTGCAATTTCAGCAAAGGAATGACCAGGTGAATGTTTTTGGTGCAGGTTAACATTTTTGGTGCAGTTTTTGGTGTAAAGATAACTATAAGCCCTATGTTGACCAAACTTACATGGATGGTACATCAAATACCAGACTTGCTTCGGATGCTGAATCTGACCTACATTTTCCCGTTGAGTGAACAGGTTAAAGTTTTTGGTGCAGGTTTCATTTCCAAGTTACTATGAGACATATAATGACCAAACTTGCATGGATGGTACATCTTAGGATGTAGACTTGCTTCGGATGCTGAATCTGGCCTACATTTTTTTGAGTGAACAGGTTAAAGTTTTTGATGCAGGTTTCATTTCCAAGTTTCTATGAGACATATACTGACCAAACTTGCATGGATGGTACATCTTAGGATGCATACTACCAGTCTTGCTTTTATATATTTTCCGGTTGAGTGAACAGGTTAAAGTTTTTGGTGCAGGTTTCATTTCCAATATATGAGACATATAATGACCAAACTTGCATGGATGGTACTTAGGATGCATATTACAAGAATGCTGAATCTGACCTACATTTTCCGGTTGAGTGAACAGGTTAAAAAGGTTTCATTTCCAAAATGAACCCTATAATGACTAAACTTGCCTGGATGGTACATCTTGCTACCAGACTTGCTTCGGATGCTGAATCTGACCTACATTTTCTGGATGAGTAAACAGGTTAAAATTTATGGTGCAGGATTCATTTCCAAGTAACTTTGAGCCCTATAATGACCAAACTTGCATGGATGGTACATCTCTAGGCTGGCTTCAGAAGCTGAAACACATTTTACATTAGTGAAAATGTTAGTTTTTTTATACAGGTTTCATTTCCAAGTAACTCTGAGCTCTATGTTGAACAAACTTGCATGGATGATACATCTTAGGATGCATACTAATGGACTTGCTTCAGATGCTGAATTCGAATACACAGATAATACCTAAAAGTTATGGGTGCAGGTCTATCACCAAGAAACTATAAGGCTTATATAAACCAAAGTTGCACAAATGATGCATCAAGGGATGAAAACTCTCAATCTTGCTTCAGATGCTGGATTTTAATTACATTTTCATGATGAAGAACTAGTTTAAGTTTTTATATAGGTATATTCCAAAGTATCAAAATTGCATAAATTTTGCATTTTTGGATGTATACTTTTTGTTGGTTAATTGTGTGACTTAATTTGCCTTACTTAAAGACAACATTCGTTGAGGTGAGCTCTGTAATCTCTGATTACCTATGTTTGTTCCATATTACTAGTACTCCAAAAATTTCTCTATGATGAAAAAAATACATGTTGATTTGAAAACATATATGAACATTTTTTTTTTAAAGTTAATTAGACCTTTGCATACATCTGTCATCACTGAAACTTTAAAGAAGCTTATACACAGATTTAAAATTACTATTTTCTAATATTATAGATATAATATCATGGCATAGATGTTGTTTGACCATTTCATGCCAAAAAACATGAAATATACCGGTAATAGAAAGCAGTTTTAGAAACTTCTTTTATAGGGAGATTATTATAACTACCAATTTCAGGAAATTTTTGATTGACATATAGCCTAAAATTTTAAATTGAAAACAATGAAACTCTGTCCAAGCCCCTCTAAGAAACTTTTCTCAGTTTGAAGATTTGCTATGTAAATGTCTTGTAATTTTGACAGTTTGAGGAAATGCCCTGTCACATTTTTACCTGCCCTGGCCATAAGGCAGTTCCTGGACCAGCCAATGACTACGATGGATCTTTTCAGGTATTCACAAGGGGGATAACTCTGTCAAATTTCTCAAAATACTCTTTCAGGTAGGAGGAAAATGTTTTTCCAGTGCATTTATTATTTAATAGTAATTTCTGTATATATTTGTAGGCAATCACTCATTTTCATGCTGTGTTAAAGAAGTGGTCTAGACTCCATTTTGATGAAGAATTCAGTCAGTCTCTGGTAAATGAAAGATGTACAAGAGTTCTAACATACTGTTTATTTGCATTACAGATAAAGACATTTCTTTTAAAAAAAAATGTATAAATTCTCAAGCATGAAGGATAAGGTGTTAAAAAAATTACCATATGATTATACATTGTATTTTACTATTGATATCAGTGTTTAAGCACTTTTCTTTTTCTCTATCTCTTATTACAACTACTATCAACCCATTCTTTATAATTTCAGACATATCGAGACCCTGGATCAGATTCAGATTTGATGTATGTTTAGTGTATGATGTTTTATCTCCTCAATAAATTTTAATACCATTATCTGTACAAGTAATATTATTCTTGAAGTATTTTATGTAGTATTTTTTGTACCTTTAAAGAAATTGACCTAAAATTTTTGCTTTGTATGACAAAAATACATATTCTTAGCTAAATGCAGAATTTTTGTTAAAAATCAAATGAAGGAGTTTCATAGTGTAAATTTTATTCAAAAGTACTCCTACAAAATATATACATAAAAACATTTCACAAAGAATTCAGGGATGATTTAAATGTATGTGAATGAGTGAATGACTGTCAATAGTTTGCAGTATGTTGAACTGAGATTTATCCTGTCCTCACAATAAAATCTGTGTTGTGCAGAGTGGATTTTTTTTTCATGAAAGTGTTGATGATGAGAATTTTCAGCTCCTTTGCTACCTCTTACTCTGAAAAAAAAATACAGGCTTGTAAAATATACATAGGTATACATGTATGCATATAAAAACAATTATATATTTAAAAAAAAAATATTTCTAATTCTATTACTGAATTCAAATGAAGACTTTGATAACAAGATGTTTGTAAAACGCATGCCGCCCTCCTCCTAATAATTGGAATTTTTCTAAGTCCAAGGGGCATAATTCTATCCAAAACGATCATATCCAAACCCAAACTTGACCTAGGTATTCTTATGCTAAATCTGTATACCAAATTTCATTTCAATATGTGCAACCTTTGCAAAGAAAATGAACAGAAACTGCAAATAATTGGAATTTTTCTAAGTTCAAGGGGCATTACTTTGTTTAAAATTGCGTCGTACCCAAAACCAAACTTGACTTGGATATTTGTATGATAAATCTGTATACCAAATTTCAGGAATCACTTCAGGAATGATGAAGCTTATTTCAACTTTTGTTATACGATATAACATTACTTTGGGCAGTTTATGCTTTATAAACCATGAAGCGGTTTATAAATAAGCGTAAACTGGTCCAAGTTATATTATTTCGTATAACATAAGTTGAAATAAGCTTCATTCCTTATAATTTAATTTCAGTGTAGACAATGAGACCATTTTTCCTTTAGAAAAAGGCTTCAGATTGAACATACATGTATTTTAAAAGTAACGTCAAGCGGAGTAATATGGTTTCGACGTAACTGATTGTGATGTAGGCAACTTTTGTTATACGAGACAGATTAAATCTTTTACCCAATCAAATGGGGTGTGTTATAACTTAAATTATTTCAATATGTGCAACCTCTGTCAAGGAAATGAATGGAAACTGCAAATAATTGGAATTTTTTCTAAGTCCAAGGGGCATAACTCTGTCGAAGAAACTGAGTATAAAAATGATGGTGCTATAAATATGACAAACCGACCGACAGACAGCAAAGCAATATGCCCTCCCTTCTTTAAAGGGGGGGGGGGGCATAAAAATAAAGGTAGCAGAAATTTTATTGTAAATATTTCCCCAAAGAAAGTTTTTATACATACTGTAAAATCACATATTTTCGTGAGGTCAAATTTTCGTGGTTTGAGGAAAAACTCATGGTTCATGGGGATTGATTTCGTGGATGGAGAATTGTTATGTTATGCATGTAATATTTTACATATTGTGGTAGACATAATTTGTGGGTCTCTTCATACCTCGAAAACAACGAAAATTAAACCCCCATGAAAATTTGTGATTTCACAGTATTTTTATGCTACATGACCACATACATATAAATTTATGATAAACTTAGCATTAAAAAAAAAGCATGCTTTGTACCTTGGCTTTTTTCTGTTCAAGGATTGTCACTTCTTTCTCCAGTTCCACACAAGCTCTTTCTATCTCATAGTTTTTACTGACAAGACCTACCCAACTGAAAATACAAACAACAGTTCAATACATTTGGCAGCAATTTGCCTTTATCAGCATTGTAAAAATCTGATGGAACGGGGAATCTTTCCCCCTAATCCTGGGGATCAGGCTTTGAACAATTTAGAACCTACATTATATAAAGAAGCTTTCATTTCAGTTCAACATTTCAGGTCCAGTGGTTCTTGTGAATATTCTTGCCTTATCTTGTTTATCTCATCTTAGAAGGAGGCTTGGCCCTTCATTTGAATAAATTGAAATCCTTTCACCTACAGCTACTTTGTGCCAATTTTGGTTTAAATTGGTTCTATAGTTTTCAAGAAGTCAAAAATATGAAAAGTTTACAGACATATAGAGAGATGGTGAAATAAACCGACTGACTAACTCATTTTAGCTATAATAACCTTTCTGCAGACATACAGCTAAACAGATAGACACCAGACAATGGGTGATTAGAGAAGTTAATAATGACCTTTCTTCTAGATCCTTCAGTTTATTTCCAGCCTCAGTCTGTTCACTCTTTCTTCTCCAATTTATTTCTTGAATTTGTTTCCTGAAATAATATAGAGATTAAAATTAAGACTTGGTGCATTTGAAAGCTGAAAGTTGTTCCAAAAAAAAATCCATCTTCCATTATGCTGTGAAATCATGCATGTAAGTTTTTAAATGTCCTCTATTTTAGGAGTATTGAGAAACACCATGAAAATAATTTTATTCTTGAAAATCAGCTCTACAAGCTTGAGTGCATAGTTTAAAAAAATGTACATGTCCTTTGTAAATCTCAGCAAGGTCAAGATCAATATACATGTATTACACACCTGAGATCTTGAAGGTGTTTTTGAGCACTTTCCATCATTTGGACCAGAATTGTGTTGTATTCCTTCCAGGCATTTGAACCATTGTCAGACATAAGCTCCAAATTCAGTATTCTACAAGAAAAGTATACTGTCTTGTAAACATGTTGAGTTACAGCTGCAAAGTTGAACCTTAGTATTTCAATCACAGATGTCTTGAATACTATGGATATGTTGAAGTGATTTGGAAGTCCCCAGTTCCTTCTCTTTAAGCATTTTACCCTCAATATCTCCAATCCTCAGATGTCTCAAAGTTTTATTCTTGGTCCCATCAAGTTTGAGATTATGAGGTTTGACTGTGGTTTATTTTTTAAAAATCACAAAGTTTTCTTTGAATGCTAAATCAAACCTAAAAATTCAAAAAGGTAGCCACGTCTAATATCTGACTACTTTAAGAAGTTCATTTGAAGTAATGTATAGAAATTACTGTTGGCAAGGATGTCTAACATAAACTGCATTCAGATACAATATTGATTCAAGAAGAATTCTTAAAATATTCTCTGGAAATGAAGCATCAATACTCAAAACAAACCGTTTAATGTAAATGCATTCAAATTTATTTTTACAAAAATAAGAATTGCTGAAGCTGTCATACCTCAGAGCCTGATGTTCCAGCTGAGCTTGGGAGTTATCCACACATTCTGTCCAGGCTGAAATATCGGTCATCTTACCAGCTGAGGGCTGCGGCAACTCATACCTTTATAAATAAATACATTGCTCTTCATATTAAAAAGAAAGAAAATTTTCACTATTATACTTGTATTTCAATTTTTCATTTATATCAAATACCATGCTAAATTTTCACAAGTATTAGTAGTTTGGCTGTCCAAGTGTCTAAATAATATCCACTCATCTCCTGATGAGATGAAAGAATAAGAATCAGGCACCACTTGATTAACCTTATAGATGATCAGCTAGACATACCTTTTCATACTCAACATATCCATCGGCAAACGAGCCTGCATTCTTTCATATTCATTTTTCATTATTTCAGTCTGCAAATAATGTCAAAGTGATAAATACATTGCAAGGCATATTACATTTTTAAATGATCTGCAAAATTGTGCATGCTGGGAAACATATGATTTCTACTGAATTTTAAAGAAAAGTGATTTTGTGTAATGGTACATTAAGGTGGCTCATTACATCCACAGTTTATTTTAGATTTCAATACAGCACCACTTATAATGTAGATGTCAAATATCCAGATGGGGGTATTGATATCATAAATATTTTTTATAGAATTTTTTAGTTTTTGTTTTATTTTAGTGAAATGTTTTATTTCAGGTTTATTATTTACAGAATTTCTGAACTTTCAGTGCCAAATGATGGGCATCTTCTTAAGACAAGTACACACAGTGAAAATACCTCATAATATCTAATAATAATTTTATTAGAAAAAGTAATTTTCTCCTAAAAAAGAATTAATGTCATTATCTTTTTAATCTATGCACAAAACATTTTAAAAATGTGTTCTGAAGAGACAAGGAATGTATTTTAATGAATTACATGTGTCAAATTGAATGAAAAAAGTTTAAACGAAATGAAAAATCCAATTTAAAAAATATTTGGTATAAAACGTCCACTTTCAAGAGTTATCTTTCCTAAATAGCCAAGACTCAAAACACTATGGAACGTTTGACATTACATCTAAAATTCAGAATAAAGCTTTAAATTGCCAGAGTATACATTTAAATCAATAAAACAAATATATGAATTAACATCAAAACAGTAAATAGCGCAATTAAATAAAATTTTAATTTCAACAAGGTTGTAGATTTTAACTCGAATTTCCTCCATACATACATGTCAGTGATTGATAGAGTTCACTGCATGCATGGCTATGAAATTGACATTACTTGTTTGGCGAAGATTTGACTGTTGCTTTCTTTTGTTTCTGCCTAAAAGCAATTCTTCTTGGTTTATGCATAATGAATCCGTTACTTTGTTTTCACTGTTTACAACACCGCATGTTTCATCTATTTTTAAAGCGTTTTAAAGGTCAGGGTCATATTATAGAGGTATCTATATAACTCGTCCCCTGAGCAAACCGGTCGACACAATGGAGGTTTATTTTTTTGTGTAGTACGTCATCAAAAAGTGGTGTAATGAGCCTCCTTAAGTAAGGAACAACTTGATACCTCAAAAGCATTGTAATTTGGGGCCGGTAAATATTCCAGGTAATTTTTGGTGGGTCTGTATCTTCTTGTTTCTTCCTCCACAAGTGAAAGAGCCTGTAATTATAACCATGAATTCAAAGTTCCTTTTTTCAAATGAAAAAAAACTATGACATAAATTATGAGGTAATCAACTGGTTCAAATTCAAATAATTTATACATTTACAATGAAGAATGGAAAACTAAATTTGAAAATAAGAATTTAAAATTTCAAAATGCATCATTAGGCAAGATATTCTTGGAAGTTTTAGACATGTTAGAGGTTCCACTTAGTGATATTTAGAGAACAGTTTACAATTATTTTATCAATTTAATCATAAGAAGTCTTACAATCATTTGGCCATTTCCAAATAATTATTAATTTAAGAGCTGATAATTAATACATTCAAAGGTGTAAAAAATAAATTGATACCTATGGTAAGAAGGTTTATTTATGAGTGTTTGAATTATGCGAAGTTTTGATTTTTTGCCATCAGTTTGGTTTCGTTATCGTACTTGAAAGAGTCGACATACTTTTACAATTCAACAAATCTGAATCACCGCGACACTTAAGTCTGCAGAAAAACCTCTGTAGAGACACAAATTTTTCACATAAAACAACATTCCAGGTATTAAAGGTAAGTCTGATATGTACTTTAACAAATACTAAAAACTTGTCTAAAATAAATATTTTGAACACTGGAAGATATCGGAATATTTTCGTATTGTCATTTTACTAGTTCCGAATACCCATTTTAAACACTATTATAAATTCATTCTTCGTTGTTTTCTTCATTTTCAAAATGACTTATTATACTCCGCTTGAAAAGCAGGGGGAAGGGGTATATAGTGATGGGATATTTGTCCATCCATCCGTCTGTATGTCCATCCGTCTGATATGTTTGGGGTACCCATTTCTTATCCACAACTGCTCTTCTACCACTGAATGAAATTTAATGAGGCCTCACAGAATTAAATGAGGTTTTCACAGAATCTTTGTCAAATAGTGCCAAAGTACACCATCTATTTTATTTTTTGATCTGGCACATGATTTGGGCTCCCTTAGTATTACATGGATTCTGCCATTCTTTCTAATATTGAAGGGTATATCCATCTCTTATCCCCAATTCCTCCATTCCAATGAATAGAATTTAATGATACATGTACTTTCATAGATTCTTTATTACATTGTGCCATTGTACATGTGACCTCTATTTACTTTTTGATCTGACACTTATTTCGGGTCTCCCACAGCAGAACATGAACTTTGTCATAATAATCATATAGGAAGTGTGGGGTATCATTAAAGTGACCTCTGTGTTCACAGTACCCCTAGTATCTCTTTATCCTTTTGAAAAACAACAACTTATTGGTAAGAAATTACTGTAGATGTATTTTATTCCACGTGGTCATATTAACTCATGATTCCGCAGAATCTTAATTTCTGTTTTATCTGCGGGTAGATAATTACGCGGATTTCTTAGACTGTCATTATATGCCTTACATTTACATTAAGTACAAATTCCATGGAAAATTTGTGACCGCATATATAGCGTAAATTAATACCACACGGAAAAAAGAACTATAGAAATTTAACTTTTCTTAGGCATGCCAATGGATAATGTGTGGGATGTATATTTTTTAATTTAGGGTTGAAATCCAGAATTGAATGGGTACCACTAGGGTATTCGGAACTCGTCGGCTTATTCGTAACTGGTAAAATGGACACCTATGTTAACTTGCGAAATAATTGTTTTGGGGGGAAGGCTGAACTTTTATGAAACAATGTTTAATTCCACAAGTCATTGAACTACCTTGACAAAAAACTTAGATTTTGAAATAATGCCTCGTATATTTATAGCACCGCCGAATCAATTTCTTATGCGGAACTGGTCAAATAACTGTACTGTATGAAAAAAATGATTGAAAAGCTTAACATGTTTTGTCCATATTAGGTATTGGAATATGTATAATATTATTTAATATCTGGATATATCTGCATATTTTTTGTTCAAAAATATGGCTGTCTCAGAAAGTTTGACCAACAGTGCCTAAATAAATTATTAGCTCAGGTGGTACAGCATCTTGCTAGTGAATAAAGGGGGGTTGATTCGAATCCTAGCTGGTTTGGTAAGTCACATTTTTTTCTCATTGACAGCTAGATTTGATCCCAAGTCATGTCCTGAAATGAAAGATCTGCCAGGGAAGGGCTTGGGTTTGTGTTTTTTTTTTTTTTTTTTTTTTGGGGGGGGGGGGGGTGATGATCTTTCAGAGGAGATTAATGTAGCAGTCAGGTGAGTTCAATCTCCAGATAGTTCAGCTGGTAGAGTACCTGACTAGTAATTCAGAAATCAGATGACCTCATTTTAAATCCTTGTCTTGTCTACTGATTTTACATTTGTCCAAGATTAGACAAATGGAAGAACAGTTGTTGAATAGTATTGGTGTCTTTGAGATAAAAACCTTAAAAGGGACTAGAATGATTAGAATGTATCGATCAGGGAGGGGGTTACATATCATATGGCCATACTAGGCGGTAGCAGAACATTCCAATGGCTGACTAGTGATTTGGGGGGGGGGGGTTGAATACTAGTTTAGAGCTTTGCATTTATCTCTCAACAGTTAGTTACAGAGTCGTAATCTTAAGCTATTCTTTATTGGGAAGTTGATGGTATGTTTTAATAGCACCCCCCCCCAATAATGTTAACTTCAGTCTAAATAGGTCTTTTAAAATTATCACTAAACCAAAATAGTGCAAATCGCTGTTAATATAGTAGTACCAGAAAAATCAATATGTTTGCAGATTAGCAATTACCTTTTTATACGTAAATCTTTTTTTCTTTCATTTTTATTTTCTTTAAAGATGTATATTGCGTTAGAATTTCCTCAGGAGATATAATTTGATTATGATAATTACTTCTTAAAAACATAAAATGACTTAAACTACTGATGTGAATAAGTTTTTATAACATTTCTCTAGTTTTCATAAAAATACCTACTGCTTCTCTCACACCTGGCTCGTCGTAACCGCGATCATAATACGGAAGAGCATCGACGACAACTTCTCCTGCCATTTTGTTTTTTGCTGACACAAGGAAATAGCTCATTCGTAAAATAATTCGTAACCTCCTCTCCTTAATTAAGGATACCTGCAAATGAATAATGTTTTAAAACGAATTCATGTTGTGTTCTTACTTTAAATAATAAATTGAAACTTTAAATAAGGGAAAATGAGCATACACACATACACACCAAAAAAGTCAATTCACATATTTACGTTTGCAACTGTACTATATAAATTATATAATTCATATATTTTCGGTTTTCACAAGAGATCTAGAAGTACAAATTTTGCAATATTGTTTGAATTAGGAAGATTCCACCTGCATTATAATATTGTCAGATTGTTAATTAAAAGTTGGTATAGATTTGAAAAAATGTCCATAGAATTTCTTTTACTTGATGAATGTAGTAAAAAGCTTTATGTGAATGGCAACCCGTTGTTTGCAGTTGTGAATACAGAAATTAAGAAAAATACTATGAATATTAAAGATTGAGTAATTTGTTATGGGAAACATAAATTTAAGTCAATCTGGGATAAAACCTTATTAGATTATTATGTAAAAAAAAAAAAAAATGATATTCAAGTCAATAAAGTACTATGCTGATGCATGCAAATTAACCATGCACATAATTATGTGAAACTCAAACAAAATTTTGGTTATGGGAATTACTTATCAGTTGTTAAAAAATTTCATCACAAAAAACCTTGTTATGATTATGTGTTATGAGGGTTTTTAAATGACAAATCATTAATTATCAATCTATTTCTATATCAATGTTCTATTAATTTTCGGTCTTGTTTGACATCTGTAGTTGAAGGTTAATTGTTTTCATTTGATGTTTAGAAAAGGGCATTTTTGCACATGGTAGCAATATCTAATTCTTGACATCTCTTTCCTGTCTCACAATATCAATGCCATTTACTCGTACTTGTTATCAACTTTATGGTTAGATCTTAGGATTGTGTTCTTTGAATTTATTATGCCTAGCTCTACCTAATTTCAGTGTTATAAAATAATGTCATACAGATCCCCCTATTCATGCAACAGTGCTTTCTATCCTAAATTTATTTGTATGAACAGTACGAAAGTGGGTGGAGTTGTAGAAGATTAGCTGTGAGTGAGTTTGTAAATGAGTCAATCTAAGAAAATTCTTTGTAAAATTCAGTTTGCTCCATCTACGAAATTTCAGAGTGTTCTAAATTGTATTTGTGAAATTTATATTTTTTACTTACAATAAATTCTGAACTTTAAAACTGTTTTATCAGTTGACACCAATATTACATGGTGGAGTTCGAATCTATTATTTTTTTGGGTGGGGGGGGGCTATATCCCTTATAACAACTTTGAACATTTAGTTGGATTTTTTTCACCTTATTAGAAGACTATTACTGAAAATGTCAGCAGACTTTGAACATAAACCAACTCAACATCACTCACCATCTTCACTGGATTATTTGATTGTCGAATGTTTTTACCAATTTATAGTGCAGAAATTAATGGAAAAAATTTAAAATTCAGTGGGACAGAAGAGCAACGATCTGCAGTGCTGAACTTCTGTGTCCATTTTTGTACTTGTTGTTTTAACAAACAAAGAGATAATTAGATAACCTTCCCATACTAATTTTTATCAGCAATACATGTATTTTTTCTTTCTGAAAAAAACAAAAATGCGGGAATATTTCCGCCAATGATCAAGTTAATGAAAATTGAACGCATCCTCTAGAAACCGGAAGCTGATGTTATTGGGAAAGAGGTTTATTGTAAAAATTCATACGCTGAAAAGGTATTATTTTGATAAAATGTTGTTTTTAGTTTTTCGTTGATTTGAAAATAATTCTGTATGTTTGTCTTACAAGATTTATTCATATTTTATAATAATTTGGCAAGTTTATGGCGAGCAAGTTTGTAAATTTTAACTTGTGAGAAAACGGAAGTTGGAAGGACACTAACATTGTGGCTGTGTTGTTAGACCTTGTAAGTTGACATATTTCAGGTGCCCGGACAAGTAAAATTGGATGCAAAAATCTATTCCTTTTCACGTTATATTTGATAAGTAATGCTTCTTTGATATATTCATATGCTCCTGACTATTCCAGATTCTTTCTTATCCCGTCACATTAAAGACGTTTGAAATGGCGCGGTTGGTAGCCGTGTGCAGAGCAGATGACTACCAGTTTGATAGGAGACAGCTACCACTAGTCGTTGATGACAACTTGAAGGTTGTGCTTTTACAGTTTTAATAATTGATATGCGAATTTCTTTCCTTTGCAATATCTCACTATCAGATTTAAATGTGATTTTTTGATATTTTTTTTTAAGTTCTCAGACTTGGAATACTTGATATAGTATGATCAAGGAATGGGAAATCACAATGATTGTTTTGTTTACCTTTGATTAAACACATCATGCATATTTACAGTGATGATTAATTTGATGCATCTAAAGTTAATACAACTTATCCAGTATGTCTTTGCACAAAGAAGGTCAATTGCAAAATACCTTGAAAAATATACTGTGGCAGCCAAACGGGTTTGATCGCTGGTGCCTGGATAGCACAGTTAATAGAGCATTTGACTGGAGATTCATGGTCTTGGGTTGAATCCCAGTTTGATCCACTAATTTTATTCTTTTCCTACTTATCAAAAGCTTTTTCGTTACAATATTTAATTAGTAGTAAAATTTAATACTCACACTGCTGCTTTTGAAGTGGGTAATCCAATCAGTATAAGATTAGTGTGTCTAACAGTGTGACTGTTAGAGAGAGAAAAAATGTATTTGATATGTTTTACAATGTGAAAGTTTGCATGAGCACTGATTTACAGAGCTAATACTTCATGTTCATTACCACTCTCTACCATCAGCTCATACATTCACCTCTGTCGTTGGCTCGCGTATATCACAGTGATAAACACGAAAAATAGTGCGTTTGTTTTAATTCATTATAATTCAATTTCTATGCTTATATCTGAGTTTTAAGATAAATATTTACTAAATCAATCCACAACTATTAATTTAAATTGAAAAAAAAAATTGTGAATATTACGTTTTATATGTTATGTCAAAAATCTTGACGTGAGCCCATTGCCGAGGTGTCTGAGAGAGGAACGAACGACAACTCTGTATGGGAGATTGGTTCATTACTTGTTTGATCTGACTTTTTAACTTCAAACTGCATGAGACACAGTGTAAACTGTGATGTCACTAGAATAAGTAACTTCAATAGTTGATTATCAACAATATTTTTGTGTTTCAGATGGTTGTACAGTTCAGTGACAATTGTGTTGACTGTGAAAATGTTCGAGGAATTAAGAGAAAAGAACTGGAACATTTTGTCCAGCGATTTAGTATGCTGTCCAAGGATGAGATAGCTATGCAGATGATGGTCACAAGTCAAGACATTATGAACATGTTATCACACATGGTGCCCTGTGTGGGGTGTAGACGAAGGTTTGTCATTAAAGAAACTACTCTAGTGTACCTATGAAATATATAGGTGAAAATGATTAGATTAGTATGTGATGTAGAAGTTTACGATGAAAATTTTGCCACAACTGCATTTTGTAAGATTTCCTCTGTATAAAATATGTACTAAAATAGTGAGTTTGTATTTAACATGTTGAATTTGTTTATCTGTTCAGATAAGCAGATTTCTCGAATTCTGTACTGTTTATAACATTTGCAGGTTTTTTATGACACTTGTATACACATGACATTTGCTTTCATTGCCAGTGTGGAAAGGTTATTTAACCAGCTAGTGGAAGGTCAACATTCTGCATTAGAACCTCTCATCATTACACGGAAAGGTGTTATGTCTGTTAACAGAGAGTTTCTGTGTGATCCCAAGGCATTATATGCATTATTTTATATTCATGGGTAAGACGGCATTTTTATAAGGGAACAAAACATTTAACATATTGAAATATGAATTTTTGTAGATAAATACAAAAGTCGGAATTATCAGGTAGAACTATATTTTGTTATTACCTTGAATATTCAATTTAAAAAAAAAAACAAAATACATAATGAATGTCTTTAATTTTAGTGCAAAGCTTAATTCCATGATGGATTCCATTCCGAAGAGCAAGAAAAACAAGCGTTGTAATCTCCACTCTTTGGAAACCCACAAGAATCGAACAACAGGGTAATTTTTGTAATCCAAATATTATGAAAATTTTTATGACACTTTTAGCTCACCTATTTGCCACAACTTTTTGACTGCTTCAGTACCCAACAATTCATTATGTTCAGTAAACTCTTTGCTTTATCCCTGTCTGTACTTGACAAGTTTGTTTTTTTTAAAAAAAATGCTTTTGTAAAAAAAATTTCTAACATAATATGTGATAAATATCTTTATGTGATAAAGTAGATAGAGAGTTTTATTACAATAGTAAACAGAAGATTTTTTTCTGCAGGAGCTGGATTGATATCTGGGATTTATTAGCTCAGGAATGTCGTGAGGAGGTCGTTCTAGTGGATGCTGAGAGCCTATTGGAGACTTTGGAAAACTATCTGAGAAAACATAGGTAAATTCTGATAATTATGACAAAGTTTTACTTTGTTCTAAGAAAAGGCGACAAAGAAGGGAAGAAATATGACTAAGTTTAACCAGATATTGGAAATATTTGTATTTAATTAAAAAAAATTGTTTAAAAACTAATAAAACTTTTAAAAGTATTTTGGCTAGAGAATTGTCATTCACATTTACAGGTTTTGTTCTGAGTGTAAGGCCAAAGTTCTCCGTGCCTACAGTATTTTAGTTGGGGACCTGGACTGTAACTCAGAGAAGGGTTACTGCGCCGTTCTGTATGAGGGCCTGCGATGCTGTCCCCAGGAGAGACACATCCATATGCAGTGTGATACCGATTTTATTGCTCATCTCATCGGCCGAGCCGAGCCAGAACTAGCAGGAGGGTAAGTTAAAGGATTAAAAGGAAAAAAGATCTTCACAGTATTCTTTTGATTATTATTATTAGCTGTTACAGTTAGGTATTCAAGACTGGTAATTATGTGTAAATTATTTTGGTAATAGTCAAATGACCTTTCTTTACCATAATATTTCATCTCTCGGAGTTTTACCTACATTTGAAAAACTGTAGCCTTGATCGTAAGCTCACATACAGAGGCATTAGGGTTTCATAGACACATTTGTTATTTTAAATGACCAGTCATGAATGCATGAAAGTGAATGCTTACAGATTTTCAAAAAGTTTGAAATGAGTAAATTAGAATTTCAATTTTTTATTGCAAAATATTAAAGGAGTAATATTTTGTTACATCATGAAAAATTGTCACATAAAAGCATGTTTTTTTAGGAGTAGACGAGACAGGCATGCGAAGACCCTGGACATAGCTCAGGAGGAAGTCCTGACGTGTTTAGGAATCCACATTTACGAGAGGCTTCATCGTATCTGGCAGAAATTGAAGGCAGAGGAGCAAACTTGGCAGATCTTGTTTTATCTTGGTGTTGATGCACTGAAGAAAAGTTTTGAGGTAAAATATGTATTTAAGTTAACAAAGAACGCTTACTCATTGTAAACTTTTTAGCTCACTTGAGGTAAATTATAGATTCATGGATAATTTTATGGATAATTTTGAGCTGATCACCCCTTGTCCGTCCGTCCATCTGTAAACCTTTTACATTTTAAATTTCTTCTCAAGAACCACTGATCAATTTTAACTTAACTTGGTAAACTGCAATCTTTTAGTTGGAATGTTTAAATAAAGGGTCCCCATACAAGGGGAGATAATCCAGAACAGAGACAAAAATAGGGTTGGGTCATTAAAAATCTTCTTTTTAAGAACTAGTGGGCCAGAAAAGCAGAACCTTATGTGGAAATATCCTGGGGTAGTGTATTCTAAATTGTTCAAATCATGGCCCCTGGTTATAGGGTGGGGACACACTAGGGAATCAAAGTTTTACACTAAAATATATTAGAAAAATCTTCTCAAGAACCACTGGGCAAGAAAAGCCGAAACTTATATGGAAACAATATTTGCATCCAGATTTTAAACACATCTGGATGAGAACAAACACATTACTACAGCTGGAGAAGATACTGTAGGCGTACTTTTTTCCACGGGGTCATAATTCCGTGGAATCTCAATTTCTGTTTAATCTGCAGGTAGAAAATTAAGCGGATCTTCTAGACTGTCGCTATATGCCTTACATTTATACTTGCACAAATTTCCGTGGAAAATTTGTGACCGCACACATAGCGAAAATTAATACCACATGTAAGAAAGTATTTCTGCAGTAATCAAGACTGAAGAATATATGTCTGGCCAGTCTAATGTTTCAATGATCTGGTTTTTGACTATTTATTACTTACAGGTTTTTTTTCACTCAATGAATATCAATTTGAAAATGTTACTGTTTTAAATCTAGATGGCGATGGAGAGGAAGCAGGGAATCTCCAACCTGGAGCTGATCTGTGAGGAGCTGTTAGAGGAGGAGCGAGCCAAGGAACAGAAAAGAGAGCAGAAACGGCAGAAAAGGAAGAAAAAGAAGGCCAAGTCCTCCCAGATTGTGGACCCGGGGGAGACCCAGAGTGAGGAGCCCCCAGTCCTGTGTGAGGTAAATAAGGGTGTCAGTAGCTATAGTACAAAATGTGGTCACTTTGTCCACTCCAGTTTGTGGGTCTCAAACTAAACACATTAAATACACTTGTCCTGTGAAAGTTATGTTCTCTGAAACGCAGCTTTCTAGCTAACTTAGGAAGGATGTATTTTTGAGTGATGTTTATGTAACTAGTAACTGTAAGGCATTTAAGGTGTTAAAGGCACTTTTCATTTTGATATGTAAATGAAGAAAAGGATTGTTGGATTGAACAATGTGAAAGCCCACATGATTGTGATGAGTGTATGTACCATTAACATTTGGGGGAATGAAGTCTATGTTTCAGATGCAACATTAAGGTCTTATAATTAGCAGATGAAAATACAATAAACTTTTCTTAAACCTTGTAGTGTGATAAAAATCAGTCCATCAGTAATGAGAAAGGGGCGCACAAGTCCTGCTCAGAGAAGTGTGGGGTTTATGGTGATCAAAATTCCAATACGACACTGGCTTCCATGGAAAGCTGTAGAACTGCAGTGACGCCCGAGAGGCAGATGAAGAACGGGAGTATGAACAGTGATTGCGGGTATTCCTCGGACGTTGAGGGCTGCGAGTGTAGCATGCCTAGTTCTAACGAGGGCTCAGATATTCTCTGTGATGGCAGGTGCAGTAGTCATGATGGTGAGCTCTCATTCACATTATCTGTCATTCATCTGAACGGGACTACCTTTTTAGTGCATATTTGATTAATAATTTTTTTTAAAAGTCCAAATGGAAAAAAAAATCTGATTAATTGAATACAGAGCTGAGTAGAACATGGTAACAAACTGCCAGGGAAAGAAATTTTGCTTGTAAATGTAATTTGTTATATCCATTAGTATGGTAAATATAGATTTTATTCCTCTAGATCATACCTATAATCCTAAATGATGAATACATTTGTAGGTGGAGACAGTGTCTGCGAGTCCTTGATTGACAGTCACTGTTGTTCCAATTCTGTGTGTCACGGTCCTCCAAAGAAAGAAGACCATAGTCACTGTACACACAAACCTAAAGTAAGTTCTAAGTTTAAAACTCTGTTTTAATGTAAGTAAATATTTCAATTGTAGAAAATCAACATCTATGATTACAATTTTTCATATCATTCAAAAAACAGCATGCTTGCTTCATTCACTGTATACATGAAATGCATTACTGTATACAGGGTTATTTTCGCCCTTTCACATTTGAAAGCAATTTGGCCCCATTCTAATTTGCCCAGTTACAGTTTCGTTTAAGAAATTATATTGTGTTCTTTAAATTCACTCCGTTTTAAATTTGCCCACATGTAAGTAAGGCGAAAAGGGCGAAAATAAAACTGACACAAAAATTTTCCTATATACAGCATATGTTTTCTATCCATTCAAGAAAATCTTGGAAATTTCAGTAATTTGAGATATTTTTTCCTCAGTAATTTGTTTAAAGATACAGTTTTTGATTGCAAATATGTCCTGGTGTTTTGAATGGAAAATAAGTTGTTAATATAATGTTGTTTATTATAGAATGATTCATCAGCTCTCAGCGTGAAATGTAAATGTGCCAACGATAGTCCTTCCTTTGTCAAGATGAGTCTCCAGGACATGTTAGAGGTAGGATACTGCCGTTCTGGTCAACAATCTTAGCCTTAAATAAAAGATCACCCTTTCTTTGTGTACACTATTTATATATCTGTATGATGCAGATAGGTTGCAGAGTTGTCATTCATGAATTGGTCTGCCATGAGCTTGCATGAAATACTGTAAATGTATTACATTTGGCTGTGTCTTTCTTTTAGCGCTTTGGGGGAAAGGAACTTCTTCTAATTCAAGTACAACGCTAAATGTCTTGCATATACAGTACAAGCCGTTTATTATCATAGCTTATTTGTCAGGCCAAAACTTTATAATAACCGACTATGATTATAACCATAGACAGCTGAAATTCATCTCCGAGGTCTGACATGAACATGACTTGATCAATAACATTCCTGCCGTTTTTACACTACATTAAATAAGTATTATAGTATTAATTTCATATTTTTAGGTTTATTTTGAAAAACAAGTTAGCTAACATATCATTTTACTTTTTTTACTTACTGTTTCAACATTTTGTATAAATAAATTCACTTTCCTAAAGCTTAATAATCTCCGAACTCAATCTTCTAGATGTCTTGGCATCCATCTTGTTAACTTTCATTTTGATCTACTTTCGTTTTTAGGTTCTATGATCAATTCAATCTATTAATAATTCGTTTGTTTTTTTTACGTTGCAGTTTTAATGAAACACAAAACAAAAAGAGAAAATATCTATAAAAAGTATATAAAAACGTACAAACGAAAAAAACATTTAGTTACAAAAATGTTAGTTCAACATTTCAGCATAACACAACTTGCTTACAAACTACACAATATTTACGGTATCAAAATTATGTTACAACATAACAGAACATGAATTAAAATTGTTTAATTCTTTCTCATTCTTTTTCAACCTTCAAGCTATTAAGTGTCAGGGAAAATTCATCTAAAACACAAGCCCAATTATTTTCTTCCTTGCACCCAAGCGCTAATTTCACTTAATGGTGCCGTTTAATTGAAATTAAATTAATTGATACACTGATGTAAATCAAAGCCGCTTGGACAGGCTGGTTAAAAAGTTAATTTCACATCACTTCTGAATAAATTGGACAATTTATGTGATTAATTATGACCATTGATCAGGCAACAAGCGTAAGATAGCTTGGGTAAATTGACACTTAATTTAGATTCAACACATTTTGGTAAAACACATTTATTGTCAATGTACAATTAAACAATTAAACAAAAGAAGAAAATAAGATTGCGGATGGCTTCCTGTTGTTGTGTAATGTACTTTGTGAAATAAACAAACTTCCAGTCATCGCTCAGGTAAATGCGCTGGAGTGTGACTAATCCCCCTCAGTCAAGCCATTGTGTATAGATAAGCGACAGTGCATGGGCCACAGGTGTTGACAGGTGTTATCTTTTGTTTTGTTAATTGTCTCCAGAGTGAAAAAGGTGTGAAAAAAATATTACGGACGAAATTTTTCTATGATAGTAACCGAAGTACACACTTTTACCTATGATAATAACGTAAGAAATTAACATTGAATTATTAAGAAATGGTTTTGTGTTTTAAATATCTATGATAAAAAACGGCCTATGATATAAAACAGGTATTAAATTAAACGGCTTGTACTGTATATACATAAATAAGAACATTGAGAAATGCGCTAAATCAATTCTATGCTAACTCGTTCAAAAATCAATTTCCACCAAATATCATACACAGGAGAAGGACAAGTACCACTAAATATAATACATTTACAGTATTTTGATGTAAAGTAAAAATCGGTACACGCTAAATATAATACATTTACAGTATTTTGACGTAAAGTAAAAATCAGTACATTTATGTTGCAAGGATTAATAAAAAATGTTTTTCAAGAAAATATGCTAGATATTTTCATCAAATTTCTTACACATGTAACATTACTAATTAAGCCTGAACAGGGCTATGGACATTTTTATAGGTTGTATCAACTATGATTTATTGTAATTTTTAGGCTCCATGTACCTCTGATGACGAAGATTTTATTTCTGAGGAAGAAATTCAGCTGTTCAAGGCCAATCAGTCTAACCTCCTACTGAAACGGCAAGAACTGCGAGAAACATTGCGGAAACGATTCGACACACTCCAACAGCAGAGATCACCAGACATGTCTAGTCTTGATAACGTCATGCAGAAAATGTGTAACCTCTAGAACAACAGCATTGTCAGGCAAAGTCTGTGATCAGCTTTAAGGCTTTCCCATATGTTTGATTTTTATTCCTGAGTTTTTTTCAAGAACACATGCATTAAGAGCTATTTCTGAAAGTACTCTATCACATTTTCCTTTCTTTTATCTTGATTCCTACAAATTGTCAGGATTTTTCTTCTGTACAATGCAAGTACATCTGTGCTTTGTTTTAAAGCTATGCTATGAGAAAACACTTTGTAAAACGGGCTAAGCTTTTTAACAGTGTATTACACATTTTCATATTCCAGCTCTGTTTTTTACTATTACCAATTGCTCTCTAACTAAATACCTAGATCAGTGTAGTTCATTACATAGATCTTGATTTTAAAAGGTCTGTTTCAAAAGAACTACACTCTTTGTTATCTATGGGTATGAAGCAGTCAATTAATTAGAATATTTTAGAAAGAAAGAGTCATTCCTAGGAATTCTTGACAAAACCATTGCACAAATGTTAATTCCTTGTTTGAAGTGCTTTGACATATTAGGTCCAAGTGAATTGTGGGACAGTTTGGAGCCAATTCAAAGATTACGTATTGGTTCAAAAGGATGGGGTTTTCATTCTGTGATAAAAACTTGGTACATGTAGAATGCAATTATACAATGTAGATATTATTTATTTAATAGTATATTTAAATAATCCATTGGATTTGAAAATTTTTGAAGAAAACAAAACTGACAAATTTTTTTTTCTTCTAAAAGCTGTATTATATTGTGAACCACTTGTGTTGCTGGTTTAAATCTGTGTTTTTCGTGAGATTGGGATAAACCTTACCTTGTCTTCAAGGGTTGCTTTGAAAAACTTTTAAGAGATACAGAACGATGTTGAACGTTTTCATGAATCAGCGAAACCTGTGGATTTATGATTTTTTTTTCTCCCACAGCAATAATTATGATTATTTTTTTTTTGCTTGTCAATAACATAAAACTACAAGTTAAGCCTGACAGTGGAATGCATGTAAATGATGAAATACATGCATGTATATTTATCCAACTTTTATTGTCTGGTTGAATTGTGTTTATTTTTGGACACTGCTGCATGATTAGAATAGAATTTTTGAATATGAATTCTGTTTTAAACAGTTATTATATGACTTGGGTTATCTTAATTTGTTGCTCTGTTTCACTGTATCATTGATTTCAGATTAAAGGTGAGAGATGAGCACAAGTGGGTTCACATTTTTGTAAAGGATATATAATAAAGAAATATGTACATGTACTAAAAAAAACAGCAATAAAATGGGCAATTAAATGACATGCACAGATGAACTGTTAGACATGTATATGTTAATGTAGACCGGGCTGATTGTTGACGGCAGGAGTTGATAAAATTAACATACCTTATTACTGTAATGGTTTGTTTGAACTGTGAGAGGATCATTTTGTTGAAATAAAATTTTTTTATTTGCATATAAAATAGTTGTTATCCTTGTGATGAGAATATTGCAAAATTATATAACAGGTTTCTTATCTTATACTATTTTTTTTACTTTCACATTGAAAAATACCATGTCCATTTTATAATGTCAGAGAATAGAACTTCATCAAACCATTGAATTAATGAAAGTGGGTAAGCTTCTTGGATATTATGCCTTTATTGTCAAAAGGGAGAGAGCCTATTTTAAAATTCACCTACCATCATTACCAGGAGTCTGAGTAAATTTGAATGTCAGGTTATAATTCCACATTTCCCATGGTCTTTGCCAAATATTAATATACCAGTATCAGGGAATACAAATCCTGGGTTCATACAATTTAGATGAGGTCAGTAAGCCAAGTCTCGCATCTGATATGACTAACTTTCACCACAGTTTATTTCCTTGGTAAAAAATGACACCAAGATCTAAATGAGCTTGTCTAGGTTTTATGGCCCTGGAGTAAGGAGGAGCAAATGGCACAAGATAAAATTAACGATAAAAATGGAGAACCATCCGATCATTCCTAATAGGGGCATCAAGTTTAAATTAAATTAAAATAAATTAACTGCAGAACTTTACTCAACACTTGACAGCATTACAGTTTATCTTCCACAAAAGAAATCATTTCAAACAAGAACTCAAGGTTTGTCAGCTGTGCAAGACATTACAAGTTTTCCCGAATAAACAAAGCAGAAATATTCAGAGTACAATTTATCAATTTTAATCTCAAAGCACAAAAAAAATCAACACAACAGTATAATAAATGTCTAAATCTAATCTCCAGTAACACTGTTTTTATAGGGTGTGTGAATGTAGCCCATGCATGATTGTTTGATATCTTTGACAACATTGTAGAACCTTAATAATTTGAAAACTGCATTTTATGCACCAAAATGATGGAGAATGCTAGGGTGAAAAATGTCAGCACAAATGCATGGAAATTGGATCAGTGCAATAATATGCATGGAAAGATGAGATTCAAAAAGATTCTACATTGAAGATGGTATTGTCAACTTGCTGTTGAATTGTTGCAAAAATATGTAACACATTGTATCTTATTTATCACACAGTATGATCGTACAACTAAAAAACCTTAAAACAACAGCAAAAGAGATATTTGTTTCCATGTTTACACACCTGTTGTAGATGAGATTCTAGATCATGTGACCGATTCTCAAAAATACAACATTTGTCTATAATATCGTAAATATTAATCACACAATGGGCTACCAATGACTTATATTTATTTTCGCAATTTTGTAAATTTTTATATTACCCTTTATGTAAATCAACAGTCATTTAGGAATCCTGAAAATTCTTGTATTTTTAATGTAAGCCTGCTCTTTCTTGCTTAACAAGTACATGTACAAGAAAAAACAACCTTACTCTCAGTTCCAATTTAAACTTAAGATTTACAAAAAGGGCAATAAAACAAGACAAACATATGTCTTGCTAAAAACAGCGCTACACTGGAAGTGTCTACAACAAATGTACACAAATCTTTACATATGAACATATATGTAAAACTATTTTTAACCCATATCAACCATACAACATATTTCAACATTACAATATTTGGCAGTCCAAAACAAGATGTTACAATAAATACAAAAAAGTTTGTTTAAAATTAGTGACTCACTCCAGACAAAGAATTTTATGATTGTTAACTTATAAGATATATGTTATTTAATAAAACGTGTATATCAATATAAAAAAAAATCACACCTAATTGACAAAAATAACTTAAAGCTGCACAAAGTTAAGATCTTGGTAATACTAGTATCATGAGATTCAAAAAATAACCTGGGTGATTCTTTTTTTTTTTTTTTTTTTTTTTACACATTTTGTTCTTTATGGTGTGTCATTAGATCATCCCGATCCCCATCACCATGGAGACCAACATCAGTGTTGTCTGTTCTGTTTGGATCCTCTACTTCCAATATGGTGTCAGGCAGCTTGGTTCCCATGGTTTCTGGCAGCAGCAGCAAAAGAAAACTAGCAACAAGGGTGATAACTCCGATTATGATCACAGAAATAGACTTGTGGCTGAGGTCCCCCTGAATGAAGGAAAATAAACCGTAAGAAAAAATAATCTACTTAATACTGAACTTTATACTAGATATCTTTCCAATGTGAGTGTTATAAACTTTGACTTGTGGTACAGCCCCAATATATACAGGCGTCCTTACCAGGGCTAGGATCTGTGGTGCTACCACTCCCCCAACTCTGGCCCAGAATGCACAGCTTCCCATTCCAATGTTTCTGAAAAATTAAACAAAATGTTTATAAAATGCTACATCTATATCATTAAACTTAAATTTTGTGCACAAGGAAACGCTAAATGACAGATCAGTAATATTTTGAAATTTCTTGTGTGTGTGTGTGTTTTCAATTTCTGCAGATCAAGTTTACAGAGCTTAATCTCAAATAGTTATATCTCCAGAAAATAAGCATGTAGCAAGTAAATAAAAAAATTTAAGACATATTGACACTTAAAAATTCAAAATGATTACCTAATAACAGTTGGATACAATTCAGAAGTATAGAGGAAGATCAAGCTAAAAACTCCACTGGCTCCAAATTTGCCAACTATGGCAAATCCAGTAATAGTCATCTGTCTACGAGCCTTCTCATCCACTGCAAAGGAAAATCAATTAATCAAAATACAGTTAATATTTGGTATCTCAAAAACCAATATCTCGAATACCATGGTGAGTTGGAAGTTCCAACTACATATTCTTTAAGGATTTTTCCCTTGGTATCTTGAATCTTCGGCTATTTCTGTTTTTTTCAGTACGTTCCATGGAGTTTGAAATAACAAGATTGGAATCTAGTGGAATCTAGTAATGCTCTATGCAAATATATGTCCAACCCTTGCCTTTTAAAAAGATCCCAGAAACTTACTGTTTGCAACCTTCCAGATAAATGGAATGACTCCTGCAGTGATACAGGCCAATCCACCAATAACGAAGAAGATCAGCATCGGAATTCTTCTGGGGTACCTAAACAAGCAAATATGGCACATATAAAAAATAATTTCACCTTATACATTCGTTCAAGAAGAAAAATTACATGTACACATGTTCTCTCATCTTTTGAAATGATGGAGTGAATCACTTACTTCCGGGCAATAAAGACAACTGCAATGAAAGCCACCATGTCTACTACTGCACTTATAAAGAAATTCAGGTATCGGTTTCCATCCAGACTGGTCATGTTTAGAAGTAAGGCATAGTAAGTCACAGCAACAGCAAACCTGAAATAGGTAGTACAGATAAAAACAGGCATAACGATCTAATCAATCCATAGAAAACATTTTAGTTGTTGGGAATTTTTGCCTCTTTTAAGAAAAGAAATCATACAAATTGTTGAAAAGAAAAATCCCCAGAACACAGCATATGCTTACACAAATTCATAATACGGTTGAACTTAGCTATCTTGAATACTATGGATATGTCAAAATGATTACGACGTCCCAACCCTTTAATTTGTAAGTTTTTTACCACTGATATTTTGAATCTTCCAGTTACTGTATAAATGTACTTTTTTCCACGGGGTCATAATCCGCGGAATCTCAATTTCTGTTTAATCCGCAGGTAGAAAATTATGCGGATTTTCTAGATTGTCACTATATGCCTTACATTTATTTTAAGTACTCTTGGACAAATTTCCGCGGAAAATTTGTGACCGCGTACATAGCGTAAATAATTACCACGCAGAAAAAAGTACTTATACAGTATCTCAAAGTCTTTTTCTCCGTCCAACTGACCTCGCAATAACAAGGTTTAACTATACTTTGAGACTCTGTAATTATTACCACAAGTAGAAGAGCACCAGACTCCTCTTCCTCATCTCTCTAGTCTGCAGCAGGTCAAAGAAGGAAAACTGTCTGGCTTTCTCTGACGTGATTTTATCATGAGAGATGATGGCATCCATTGGTTCTGAGGGGTAGGGGAGGCCATTAAATTTGGTTATCTTCTGCACCAGTTCCTTCACAGGCTCCATCTTCTTCTGAATAACCAGCCATCTCAAAGACTCTGGGATCAGCCTTAAAATTATATTATATTACATACACTTTGGTTAGTTATGAATGTTGTGTTCATATTTTAGAGCGATTATTTTCACATTGTGTTAATAATCTATACATGAATAAACAATGAATGCTTTATACCTGTAAACTGTTAATAATAATCACTAAACAATAAACACGCTAATAGCGAAGTGCCAGGGACAAAAACTTATGAATCATGTAATTCATTATATCCCTTAAGATTACAACTACACTGTAATGCATTTTAAAACCAGGGAGACTAAAAATCATTCTGCTGTAAGTGTTAATTCATTATAAGCGTGTTTGCTATAACCATGTTATACTGTATTTCTTTTTTATGTAACTGGCTGAACATGAGGCAGTTATTGGTTAATATAATCACCATATGTATCCAATGGCTAGTATGCTTGGTAGGGAAATAGCTAGCTGGATATATCTCCAGTTCTGGATTAGGTAAGCAATAGGGGCCACCAGCATCACTGCGATACCCCAGAAAACTTCCAACATGGCACCAGCTACACCACGATAACATGGCAGAAACATCTCCATCACAAGCACATAGCTGCTGGTTTGAAGGCCCTGTCACAAGGAAGATGGACAAGGAAATAGAAAATAGGAAAAAATAATAAGGAAATTGATCATTTCTACATCCTTTGTTCACTTTTTAAGATTTTTTCTAATCTGTGAATCACAAACGCTTGTTGAAATTGAGAACATTTTTTTAATTGAGTTTTGTCACACTCAATGGCATGACAAACCTCAGTCATCCTACATATCTTTGTGTTAGTACACTGGTTTAATTTACCTAGTCTTTTATCACTGATATATTTCAAAACACACCCACACATGCATGCATAAAAATAAATCTTTTTTTTTTAGATTTTTCTTAATGATTCTATACACAAATATACAAAAATAATGATGAAAGTTTGAAAATAATGTGTCTCAAAAAGGTTTAGTGATATGTACATAATTTTTAGACAAATGGGTAAACATATTTATATACATGTACTTCTGGGTCATTTAAACAGCTGCACAGTGCTATTCATAATCATTCAAAGGCCACTATCAATAAGTACAGTGTACATAATACAATTATTCATTAAAAGCATGACGTTTTCAATTTGATGGTAAAATAGGAAAGCATTTTCTCCTTCAAGTAATTGCAAATGATTTTTTGACATAAATAGTTTCTTTTATCCTGCATATTTTATTTTCCCCTGTCTGTACTAATTTTAAGGGACATTGACATGCAATGGATAAATGGATTTATTATTACAAATTAAACTGCATCATATAAGTTAGACTACTAACTATGGCTATAAAATGCTTGACATGACAGATCCAGTACTTACACTATAAGGTTTATAGTGGTACCTTACCCACTTCTAATTTAGATCTACTATAAGGTTTATTGAAGTATCTTACATACTCGTAATTTAGATTGACTATCAGGCTTATAAAGTACCTTTCTTATTCCTGGTTTATTAATATTTAATCCAGATTAGTATTTCCTAGTCTACTTTTTAAATGAACTTGCAATTAATGTTGTTACAGTAATATATTTCACCAATTTCAACATTATTCTCTGGGTACCACAGATCATTGAACCTACTCAAGTCAGACTTTGAAAAGTCATATATGTGCATGGAAATGTCTGATATGCAGATTGTTTCTTATTTTTTATTGACCAGCATTTAAATCTTTTCATATATACTTATTAAGTTAAATTGGAAAGAAGAACAAGAGTTTAGATCCAATGTTATCCCAAAAGAGCTACCATATTAACTTTTTGAATAACTTGGAAGAAGTTTTAATCTATGCAATTATGATGCACATTATGTACAGGGAAAAGACTTATAATTGATGTCATTTACTGACACAAAAATCAATATCAAATCAATTAGTGTTAAGTGCTTTTAACTCTTCTTTCAATATACCTGTATTCAGGAGTAATTTGACGCAATCCATGGAGTAAAATCAGATATAATAGGAATGGGTCAAAAGAACAAAATAATCAGAAAATCAATAGATAGGCTAGAAATCTCACCTGCAAAAACATCCCCATAAAAAATCTCAGAATCACAAACAGGTAATAATTGTTGGAGAATGCGATTCCTAGTCCAATCAGTATCGGGCAGTAAAGAGTCACCAGCATTGCAGGCTTGCGGCCATATTTGTCAGCCACGTAACCGAAAAGTAAACCGCCCACCATCACACCGCAAAAATAAAGCGTGGTGGCCAGCTTGGAAAGATATCTAGATTCACAGACCAAACTCCACTGGAAATATAAATAAAATATGTTTCTTAAAATGTTAAATAAACAAAAGATATGACTTTCATTTAAAATTGCCATTTATATTAATAACTGCTTGTATTCTGTTAGGTTTTTAAAAAGTGCAATATATTATAAGCTACATGATTCAAAAGTTTTAATCTACAAATATAATATTCAGTTTATAATGCAATCCCTTCACTTGAAAACAAAATATATAAAGTATCAATTTGTAAAATAATCATGAGCAAGATGAAACTGAAAGGGAAATGAGCCATGGTTGTTACGGTAGCTATTTTTTATCTCTAACTAAAAATTCACGCCACTCCCCAAACGTGTCCATTACCCCCTTCCCCACCCTCCTCCTCTACCCCCCGAAAATATTCTATGGTCCTGAAGGTACACTTACAGTAGCATTTCATAATAACAAATAACATACCTCTGACACAATAGTGGCTTCCGTTTCACCAGTTTGAAACTCCCAGTAGCTGTCTGGGTCATCAGAACAACTGGCAGTCTTATTGACCCCTCCAGCCACATAGTAGGTACTAACACACTCTCCAAGTACTGGCCTCAGTGAACTGTTCACAGTACTACTGTCATTCATTCTGACATTGCTGATGCTGTATTTGTTGGAAACACATGAATGTTTTGGGGTAAAACCAAAGAAAGCCATAATGACAATGTTGAATACTACTGGGAAATAGTTGCATGCTAGAAGGAAAAATATCCCCAGCTGGTATTTCCCAGGCTTTCCCAGAGTCTCTATTAATGTGTCCAACTGGAACTTCATGGTTATTTTTAAAGCTGTAAGTAAAAGACATAATCATCAACCTTTATTGCTTACAAAAAAAGGTATAAGTAAATGTGCATACAGAATATACAGTCAAACCTTGTTAGCTCCTCTACCCTCATTTCTTCCAACTTGAAAATGTTCATTGACCCCCCCCCCCCCCCTCCCAAACTCCCCCAACTTGATGCTGCATCGTAAAACCGTGATAATTTGGTAATGTATTAATAAAATTTGGTTGTGAAGGAAGTTTGAATCTACACCCACCCAAGAAATAAGATTTTTATGTTTGTACAATTCCCTTTTTTAAAATTGTTTTGTTTTTATTTACAGGTCATTTAATTTCTTCATGATACCTATTATTACATGTAAGTTTTTATAATTAATAAATAATCAAAGTTTCAAGTAAATGAAGGGCACTGGTCTTGATATAGGCCAATTTTTTAAATTTATATTTGACAGTGTGAACATGATTATAAAGTATTCATTGAACTATGCTCTGCTATTTTGAAATTGAGTAAATCGCAGGCAGAAAATATCACATCTTCTAAATCAAACAAAAAAAAATCAATGTTACTGGTTAACTAATTAACATTGTATTGACATTTGTTACCCGAACATGATTATGATGCTGTTGTTGGAAAAGTAAACACTTTTCTCAAACTTTTAAATAAAGCAATTTTTAAAAAAATCATAATATCAACAATATTTACTTTAAGATGGATAGTATTGGTATTTCATTACACTCAAAGTCCTGTGTTTAACGTTACAGTTTACTACTCTCGCTACACGTGTATCAGCTGTTATGGCGAAAATGAAAGCGAAAGTACACTGTAAGCATTTTGTTTCCCATCTCATTCTTGTCTTGTCATTTCCTTACGAAAAGGTCATCACAATCGATTTGATATAATTAATTCTTTTACGTCTCTGTGAATTATAATTAATCAATATTACCATGACCACAACACTAAATAATTATAACCTCTAAATCTAGAAAAGAAAAATTCCGAAACCGGGGGACAAATAAGCACATTAATCTGATAATATAAATAAACTAAATAATTGTATAAATGTAAGTTTTATAGAATGATGTAAAATCTTTCTCATCTTACCTTAAAAAACGAGATAAATAACCTCCGAAAAACGTTTCATGAGTTTAAATATAGCTCAACCCCTTCTTTGCAGTTCACGGTCTGAGCACACGCTGTCAATGTGAACACACGACGAGACCGGGAAACTTGTTTTGTTGATCCGCGATTGGGTATTTTTAATAGCTAGATTCGCTCAGTCAATATAAATAAACCAAATACAGGTACAGATTAAAAATATCTTCGATTTTGGATTTTTGCCAGTCTAATTTATTTCTCGTACGTCATGAATGTATTTATTTGCGCAGAGAGAGAGAGAGAGAGAGAGAGAGAGAGAGTTTGAATCCACTTATCTTATTTTTTTTACATATCAAAAGAGTGCTAATTAAATTTCGTTAAATCATATTCTGGTAAATTTATGATTTCGGAAAATTCTAGAAAATATATCAATTAATTGATTTTTTTCATAGCTGTCGCATAGATCAGCTGTTAATTTGTATCTTTTCTTTCCTGTCACTCTTAAAAAAGTTTTACTTAGTAGTCATTTTTTACTTGAAATAACAAAGATAAGTAATAGATAATTACTAAGCATTTACTTAAAATTTTAAATCAATTACTGAAATATATGTCATTTACTAGATTCAAATGTTTTACTTGATTTTTGTATTTTAAAGAATTGTTTTACTTACACACTAAAAAGTTTTACTTAGTAATTTATATTTACTTAAATTTGTGTATATAAGTAATAACATTACTTGGAGTAAACAAAGTTTCGGGCGTATATAGTTTTTGTCGTGTCCGTCTGTCTGTCTAGCTGTCTGTCTAAAGCTGTCTCTCTGTTTGTCTGTTTATCCACAGAAACTTTTACCTAGCCCATAACTTTTGATTTAGCGGAGCTATGACTTTCATATTTCACACGTGTATTCCTTGTGACAAGACCTTTCTTTGAGTATCACCAAATTTGACCTTGACCTTGAAGTTTGACTCACTTATACACAAAAAATCCAAACTTATTCTTTATCCAAATCTTTTGAACAGTAAATACCAGGACATGTATACTTCACATATATATTTTTTGTTGAAAGAACTTTCATTGAATACCAACAACTATGAAATTTTGACCTTGACCATGGGGATTTCCATCCTTGTGAAAAAAACTTTAACCTTGGCCATAACGTTTGAACGGTAAGGAATAGTGCTTTCATACTTACATATATGTAATCATTTTGAGAAGACCATTCATAGGATACCAAGAAACCCTTTGACCTTGACCTTGGAGTTTGACCCACTTTTAAAAGCAAACCTTGACTCTAACTTTAAAAGGATTAGGGTTAGTGCATTCATACTTTACATAGTTCATCCTTGTGACAAGACCATTTTTGGGTACCACCAAATCTGTCCCTTTGTCTTTGACCTTGGCGTTTGACCTACATTTCAAAATTGGTAACCTTGACCATAACTTCTGAAGGGTTAAGGCAAGTGTTTCCATATTTCACATATGTATTTTTTTTGGCAAGACCTTTCATTAGATACCAATAACCTTGACCTTTTGACCTTGGAGATATCAAGAAATCCCAATAATTTAAATTTGCATTTAAGAAAAGTTTAACCTTTGAAATGTTGCCATACAGGGGCATAGGTGTTTCACAAACACATCTCGTTTGAATTGTATTTAATTGATTTACTTAAAACAAAAATTTATTTACTAAATCTAGAATTCAGATCAGTAATTACTTAAATATGGTAGTCTAATCACTAATTGTCTGTGAGGAGGAGTTATCTTTCTTCTAAATATTCCTTCATGTGAAAAAAAAGTCACACTAATAAAAATGCGACATTAAGTACTTGAAATGTTTAACCATTTTTAAAATGGTCCTTAAAAAGATACAACTTATCAATTTTTAAGGCTTTCGAAGTTGGAATTAAATGTTTTATTGTTATATATAATAAAACAATTACAAAGAAATTGGCAAAAGAAATAGAAAGTATAATTGTTTCCATCATGAGTAGATTTCTTCTATTAAACTATTCAAGGGCCCAGTTAGGGAACTCTTAGTACTCACATGTCAGAGGGTCGGTACCTTGCAGTGTTTCTAGTAAATAATGTCGATTTTAGTAAATATGATAAGTATTTCATTTACTTAGTATTCTTTTGAGTAATAATATTCTAGATTTTAATTAATTTCAGAATTACATTTACTTAGTAATAATTCATAAAATTTAGTAAATAGAAAGCATATTATCTCTAAATTAAGTAATAATAATTTAACAAAAATGAGTAGTTCATTTACTAACTTTAAGTAATACAATTCCTATAATTTAAGTAATTCTATTGATACTTAGTAAATCATTTTGCCAGAGAGAGAGAGAGAGAGAGAGAGAGAAGTAAATGAATTCATCCTTATTACTAATTATGTTTACAATTACTAACCATGATAGTCATTTACTTGCTATTCTGACTAAATGGATTACTAATAATTACTAGTTTTTCTTAATCTAATATCTTATTTTAAAAACAACAAGTAAAACTTTTTTTAGAGTGGTGGCACAGACGTTCAAAAGTTATGGCCAAGGTTAAAGTTTTCAAAAGTAGGTGAATCTCCAAGGTCAAGGTCAAAAGCTCAATTTTATTGGTATCCAATGGAAGGTATTGTCACAAAGAATACATATGTAAAGTATGAAAGTCTTAGGTAGCATTAATCGTTCAAAAGTTATGCCAAAGTAAAATTTTAGAATTTTGGTGTAAAAGTATGTCAAACTGCAAGGTGGAGGTCAAGAGGTCAAAATTTGGTACCCAAAGAAAGGTCTTGTCACAAAAAATATACCTGTAAAATATGAAAGCCATAGTCCCGCCTAGTCAAAATTTAAGTGGAAGATTAAACTTTTTGCGGACAAACAGACAGTCAGATAGACAGACATGCAGACGGACGGACACGACAAAAACTTTATACCCCTGAATCTTCGATTACGGGGGCATAAAAAGACCAAAATTTAATATGCTGCTTGACAATTATAATATGTTGCTTGACAATTATAAAATCAAAAATTCGTTTGTACGACTTTCAAAATTGTTTGAACGGATTAAAAAAAAATCGTTTGTACGATATAAAGAAAATGGTTCTTACGATTTCGAAAATTGTAGAAAGTCGTCTGTACACTATACATAATTTGCTTTAAGGATTTTTATGCCACCACAAACGAAGTTTCCGTCGACTATCCGTCTGTTTGTCTGTTTGTCCGCAAAACTTGAACCTTGCTTATAACTTTCGAGTGGGTGGAGGCTCCGAGCTATGGCTTTAATATTTCATTGGTGAACCCGATTTTTTATTTTAAATTTGCGTTAAATATGAGTTCCTTGAAGTATCCACATCTATTTTACAATTCTCAAATGTATTGTTTTACATGATTCTCCTCTGCTATTTATATTGAAGTGAAACGTTTGTTCATACACAATAATGTTGCGATGCTGTAAAATATGAAACATTATCATTTCTGAAGAAGTTCGATTTTTCAACTCTTTTTCATCTTTCGATCTTGTGAACAATTAAAATAAAAAGTTGTATGTTTGGTTTCACCTTTTGAAATCTTATTTCAAAAAGTCATACATTTCGTTTACACTTTTTTGAATATTGAAATTGTAAAACAAATCAAATATGACGCTGGTTTAATTTCGCAACTTCTTCTATTCATAAAAGTTCTTAAAAGCTGATTTTATGCGTATTTTTATTTGAATAAAATTCCGGTTTACTAAATCGAAAGTGAAAATGCGCATTATTTGGAACATACTTCTAAAATTAAGTTCTAGTAATCGGAATTTCAAAAACTGAAATTTGGCATTGTGCGTTTAAAAGTACGTTGTGCGAATTTAATGAAAACTACCTGTAGTAAATCACAGTTTTATCTGCTACAACAGAGATAACAGATTTTTTGAAAAAAAAGAAGTCATATATTTTACTATGCAAATTGTAATAAAAACGAAAAATGTAATACCAGTAAACCGGGATTATTGCATTTTTTCGCTCAAGACGAGTACTGTATACAGGGTTATTTTCGCCCTTTCACATTAAGAAATAAGTTTGCCCCATTTTAAATTCGCCCAGAAAGATTTTTGTTTAAGATATTATACTATTTACGTTGAATTCACTCCATTTTGAATTCGCACACCTCCGACGAAGGCGAAATGGGCGAAAATTTTCCAATATACAGTATATTTGGCATCGATATTAACGCAAAATGTAATAAACTTATTGTGTAAGAATATACTTTTTAGGATAAAACATAAAAGGAGAGATCAAAGGAAAATATAATATGGCAAAATGTAATAACACGATATTTGGATTATTACATTTTGTGTTGTTACATTTTGCGTCAAGATTAAGCAAAATGCAACAACGCAAAATGTAATCAAACAACTTATTTTTGGTCAGACAGGTTGAGAATGATTTTCTATCAAGCAATGGATAAAGAAAATTCTGTGAACGGAAAGGAAATAAAACAAAAGGGAAACTAAATATAGTATAAGGTTAATTATTACATTTCATATCATCATAGATTTCATTAGCCCTTTAAAGTCAGTTAATATTTATTTCAAAGGTGTTGTAAATTAGAAACATGCGTGCACACGTGTGTGTGGTGGGGAAGAAAGGTCATTCCGTTGATCAGTATCAGTTTTCTTTTGATTATTTGATAGGCACATGCATGAAATTTAGAAAAGAATGTTTTTTTACTGGCAGGTGTAAATATAGCGGCAAGGGGTTTCTTGACAATTATGATTTCATACTGTTTTACAAATCGTATGCACCGCAGACCAGAAAATTAAAACAATTGAAATGCTCTCATTCTTCAATAATAAAATGGATAGTTTCTGCATGTGCATAAAAATGCAATAATCGACACGCCAAGTATAACCCATACCCCCCCCCCCCTCCCGCGCTTCTCCTCGCCAGGCACACATACATGCAATTCTTATTGGCTAACCTATGTACACATGCATACCAAGAGCTTTTCATGGACCATGGTCAATCTTAAAATAATGACAATAAAGAATATATGATACAGGCTGATATATAAATACTCAGTAGATATGTCAATCAAAGTGAAGTTTATGTTTTGTAGGTATTTTTTAAAAATAAAAAATGGAAAAAAGAGTTTAAAAAATGTCGTTATATTAAGTACCCGGTAATATCCGTTAAACCGTATCGTTTGTCGCATAGTCATGTGTTTCTGTCTATTTAGTTAAGCGAGTTTCCCCATTGTTATATATGTTAAAATCAATTTTGTGATATTTTTAAACACAGTACAATACACTGTGTATAAATATAGCCCTTTGATGAGGTCGATTCATAGTTATATCGGCTTCACAGAAATGCATATCGACCGAGCACGAAGTGCTAGGTCGATATGCATTTCTGTGAAGTCGATATATCTAGAGATTGACCTCATCAAAGGGCTACATTTGTTATATAATTTTTTTTGACAGAGATTGACAAAATCACCTCAAATTTTCTCTCTTGTTTTTTTTTAACACTGAGGGACTAGAGATTAAACAAAATCTTAAAATTATCTTCAAAATAAATCAGTTGTCTTATCTTCACTGGCATAATAATACATAATCACACCCAAGTTAACAAGGCCCATGGACCAAAACTCTCGCCTGAATTGTGGTTCGTAAGATTTAGACCTGTAAACATTTTTTACTCAACATTGGTACCCCTTTAAGAGCCAAAAATCCATTGAACTTAAATAACAAAATACGCAAAATACTAGTAATATGCATTAATACATTAGTATTTATTATGAGAGAAAGAATGCATTGCTTTTCTGGAGAAAAGGAACATTTAAATTCTTTTTCCAGCATAAAGGTATTATTTTAAGCAAATGATCTTTGAACATGAACCAGACACGACATTATCATGCTTGACATGCATAGTTAGAAAATCAAATTGAAACACAATGAGAATTTTTGATGCCGCGACACAGTCGAGTATGAAAATGTAACAGAAACAACTTTATACGCCTCTGCTGGGGATAGAACCCGGGGCCTCTGTGCTCCACCAATTGAGCTAAAGGGTTAACCCACTAGCCCAAGGTAGTAGGATGCCATGTATCTTACACTACTGCGTTGTCCCCCTCCAGAGAATGAGATGTCCTCATCTCTTTTGGAATGCCGACACATGTGGGGCGAAGTTCTAGGTGCAATCACTCTCTGACAGAGAACATGGGCGCCAAATGTAACAGAAACTATTTTATGTCTCTGCTGGAGATTGAACCCAGGGCCTCTGGCTTGCCAGTCCAGTCTCTACCAATTGAGCTAAAGGGTTCAGACACTAGCCCAAGCTAGTAGGATATTTTACACTACTACATAAATTTCATTGATGATTGCTCTGTGCCATAATTTGAGCAAAAACAACACAAGAACTTCTGAGTGCTACACTACTATAGACCTAAATAATAAAACTACTAGCATTTGAATATTTTTGCAATAAGAGTCTTAAATAGTTTTTAATACAGTTATATTACCATTCAAAGTTATACACAAGCACTCTGTTCAGATATCCACAGAAAATATGATTTTCAGAATCTAAACACAGACCCTGACAATTTAAGTTCCCTGAAGGCGCGAGTGTAATTACGTAACCTTTAAGCCGCCCTTTTCTGTTCAGTAAATGAACACGACGTTCAGCACCGTCCATAACTAAAATGTTACCGTTTTTGTCACAGGAAATTCCCCCTGGACAAAACAACGCCTGTGAAGTTCCAGTATAAGAAAACCGCCTTTTCCCATTTTTCTTGACCACTACCAATGCTCCTGTAACTGGAGAACTCCAGTCAGAAACACAGATGTCCCCATTTCCTCTCTCTGTAATATATCGAGGATCGTGAAAGATGGGCTGCTTTTTACTGTCAAACTGGATATTCTGAATTTCCTCCCCCTTTGTCGTGTAACGGGAAATTCTAGCTTCCTCATCTAATTTCTCTCCAATTAGAAAATCTTCACCTATTCCAGAGTAATATATGCAACACGGTGTCCAGTCATTTGTGTTAAACACAGTTTCCCGTACACTGCTTCTCTCCGGTTTGAGTTCTTCTACAGATTTGCTTCTCATATCTATAAATACTAGGATGCTGTTTTCTCTAACTGTATGGATGCCATATTCTCCATTAGTTTTTATCTGCTTTAATTCATTTCCGTCATTGTCGATAAAGAATATTTTTCCAAACTGATTGCTGACCCAAAATGACCCAGAGGGGAGACAAGAAATATGGCGGCTTCTGCCAGCACTCATCACAGACAAGTCTTTTTCTTGTTGTGCAATGGGTATTCGTTTATCTTTCTTTGGCTGTGAATCCCTTTTCTCCTCATTGGGTTCCTCAATTCCATGGTATGAATTTCCTTTGCATCGAAAACAAACAACGCCAGTGGCATTTTTGACATTTTCTTGCAAATTTTCTTGAAAATCAATACCCGGCTCTTCTATTCCAACATCTGAATTGAATTGAAGACAATATTTACATACGAATTTGTTACATATCTCACAAGAATATCCAGAATCCTTCTGGCAATATGCACACTGAATGGGACACTGAGCTCCCGAAGAGGACGTAGCCATATCGAGATAAATAACTGGGAATTGTCCAATTTTTTTTTCAAGAATGCATATGGAACGCCATCACTGCCTTATAGCATACAACTATGCATTTATTATGTCAATTTATCATTACGTGATGTGAACATATCTTTACGTTATGTCCATTTTTCATGATCTGATGTAAATATATCTTAACATCATGTCCGTGCTGCATTACATGAAGTAAATACATCCTTTCATTATGTCAGCACTTCATAACTTGAAGTAAAAAATTCATTATGTGAAGTGATAATGTGTTTACATTGTGTTAAAACTTTATTACGTGAAATGAATGTTTCTTTACATCATTTCATTTCTTTAATATGTGAGGTCAAAATTGCATTACGTCAAGTAAATTGTGTTTTATAATTAAACTTATCCTTACATGAAGTCAAAAGCCCATTCCTTTTTGAGAGAGTATATTTCTATTATATAAAAGCATTATTACGTGATATGGATTTATCTTTATTTTACGGCGAGGGTATCATGATGTGAGGTGAACACATCTTACCTTTATGTCAGTGCTTTATTACGTGGTGTAAAAAGTTTATAACATAATGTTATCATATGTTAATATTATATCAACACTTTATTACATTATGTCAAAACTCCATTCCGTGATGTGGATACATATTTACGTTATGTCTACTCTTTCTTATGTGATTTAAAAATATCTTTATATTGTGTTAACTCTTTATCATGTTGATTCCAAAAGTTCATTACCTGATGTTAAAATACATTTACATTATCTCAAAGCTGTATATCTAGTATATAATGAATGTTGACGACCGTGTTTTAATGACTGGTAAGAAGGGGGGTCCTGATTGATTTCAGGCACATAATACCCCCCCCCCCCCGGTATCACCCCCCCCCCCTCTTTTCCCAGACATAACTTAACTATTGAAAATGTAATGTTCATTGAAAGTACAGCCCCCCTCCCCACTTTTTGTTGAAGTATAGTCTAAGGGTAATGTTGTATATCTGGAAAAAAATAGGACTGATCGAAGTTGGACCCGCTTCCCCGAAATAGGATTTTCGTGCTTGGACATTTTTTTCTTGGCTTGTCAAGTTTTTTCGGGCAATTTTTTTTTCTGGCAGACCTCCTCTTTCAAAAAAAAAATGCTACGTCACTGGTATTAGTAATTTTTTAAACCATTCCAGGGCAAGAATTCTATTATAAAAATCTACCAGTCACTCATCTAAATCTATTGAATATGCCTTAGTAAGCATGCATGGGCACATATCAGTGACGGATATGGGAATCTTGACCAAGGAAGGGGGCGGTATATGGTTGGAGACCAAGGGCGGAAAGCGGAGAAGCTCTCAGGCTTTATAGTTTTATATATAGAAAAAAGTTTTCAACTTAATTCTGCTAAACTTAATGTGAAAGTAATGCAATGTCCTACAAAGTTTAAGACTTTTATAAAAAACAAAAACAAACAAACAAACAATTCAAAATAAAAAGAAAAAAAATGCTGCACGACTCATAATACCGGTATTTGATTTATTTAATTATCAGATTAAAGTAAACACCATTGAATTTCGACGTGACTTTAATTCACAGTCGCAGTGTTAAGGGTTTGCACGTTTCAAGATAGTCAATCATTTGTCGCTTAAAGTTTTCATTTAAAGATGTCATTCCCAAATCCCCGAGAATCTCTTTTACAACAGTTTTCTCTCCCGCCATTTTTAGTGCTTGCGGAACGCGGAAAATACGGTATGCTCATATAAAGACCGAGGATACCCGTGTTCGCATAACGTAATAGTGAATCGACATAATGTAGAACAGTGCGCACAGTATGACATGAGCTTTTCACATCAGATAATAAAAACTTAGATGTCATGAAAAGTAAACATAACGAAATGCAATTTGACGAAATGTAATTGTAGTGTGTGTAAATGTCATAAAGAGTTGACATAATGTAAAGGAAAGTTAACACGATGCAATAGTAGTGTGGGTAAATGTCATAAAGAGTTGACATAACGTAAAGGAAAGTTAACTCAATGTAAGAGTAGAGTGAGTTAATGTCATAAAGAGTTGACATAATGTAATGGCAGGTTCACACGATGCAATAGTAGTGTGGGTTGATATCATAAAGAGTACACATAATGTAAAGGAAAGTTCACACGATGCAATTGTGGCGTGAGTAAATGTCATAAAGAATTGACATAATGTAAAGGAAAATCCCCACGATGCAATAGTAGTGTGAGTAAATGTCATAGAGTTTACATAATGTAAAGGAAAATTAAGACGATGGCATAGTAGTGTGGTATAATGTCATAAAGAGTTGACATAATGTAAAAGAAAGTTCACACGATGCAATAGTAGTGTGGTCTAATGTCATATAGAGTTGAGTCAGTTGACATAATGTAATGCAAGGTTGACACAATGCAATAGTAGTGTGAGTAAATGTCATAAAGAGTTGACATAATGTAGTGTAAAGTTGACGCAATGCAGTTGTTGTGTTCTGCTATAAGGCAGTGACGGCGTTCCATAAATGCACCTTTTACAAATATTCAAGTTCAAACATATACTGTAATGCTGCACAATGTGAAAAACCTTATTGATAAACTCGTCTCGACATTTTTTGCAACAGCTTGAAAAATATTGTTTATGGACGAATTTTTTTTTCATATCGTCAAAGTCTGCAATCCGATCTCTTTAAAACGGCTCCTTTGAAATTTTTTTTCAATGAAATAAAATTCATAAGCATTTTAAATCACATGATCCAATTCATTATAGCACTTTTATAGGGTAGTGTTAAACTTTTACTTTAAAAAAATAGAAGACGAATCTTTTTTTTTTTTTATTCATTCGCCCAATTTCAAACGACTTCAATTGTTCAATGTCTTTTTCTTGTGCTATTACTATTTGTGCCTTCCACAAAAGGTAGACATGTTGGTTTGCCATATATATACACTTTCTGTCGGTCTGTCACAAAACATTGAGAGACAAGATTATACTGTAGGTGAGTTAACCATCATAAATAGAGAATAATACATACCCTTTTCCATATCACATCCTGTATCAGCCCGAGACACCAATCACTTTGAACCATGATGTGGAAAAGGGGTTTTATTATATTTATTACATACTTAGTAATAAAATACAGTTGAGAAGAAAATAAGTAAATAATCATGCATGGACTTCTTACATACATGTACATAGTCTAATGTCTCATAAGATTTGGGTTTGTTTCTATTTCTATTTCAATGCACTTGATCCGTAATTTGAAAATATTCTATAGTATATACATGTATTTGTAAATTAAGATTAACTTTAATTTCAAAAAGTTAAAATTAAGAGAATATGAACCCATCAAAAATTGTGTATGAGTACAAGTACTGTTATTGTGGTTTTATTTACTAAGGGTGTGATATTGACGTCACAATAGCCGTATCAGCCCTGCAGGATTGATACGGCTATTGTGACGTCAGCCATATCGCATATGCAAAAAACCTGTATTTATTACTAAGTGTGTAATAAAACAGTATATATATGTATCACCTTGAACCATTTGGTTTAAATTGTAAAATCGATTAATGCCCAGTGCTGCACTCAGTGGCGGTTGTTAGTGGTGTTGTTGGAGGGTGTGTGTGAAATATATGGAGATAATGGAGATAACAGTGTTCAAGCTCAAAAGTCCATTAAACAATGCAAAATAGGAGCAGAGCAAAAACATCAGAGGTGGGATAAGCTTAAGTGCCATGGAGGAGCTAAAACGAACTAAACTGTCTGCCTTCGGTCTAACGGCCTCAGGCAGACAGTTTGGTTCTTGGGTTCGACAAAACGCATGTTGCCCTCGAACTCGGTCAATAAATGTATATTGGTTCATGAGTAAGGGAAGTTGACGATTGAAAAGTTAAAGTCATCTCGTTTGTCATAAAGTTTGGTTTTTAGAATAGCATTGACGCATTTCTCAAGTAAAATATCTAAATATGAAACAGATGTGTCAGACTTTGTGGTATCTTTTATGTCAAACTCACTGGGATAACATAAGAATGAAAATACCCATTCATGTAAATTCAATACGTCGTCAATATAGTAGTGTCTACACTCTAAAAAAAGTTTTACTTGTTGTTTTTAAAATAAGATATTAGATTAAGAAAAACTAGTAATTATTAGTAATCCATTTAGTCAGAATAGCAAGTAAATGACTATCATGGTTAGTAATTGTAAACATAATTAGTAATAAGGATGAATTCATTTACTTATAAAATGATTTACTAAGTATCAATAGAATTACTTAAATTATAGGAATTGTATTACTTAAAGTTAGTAAATGAACTACTCATTTTTGTTAAATTATTATTACTTAATTTAGAGATAATATGCTTTCTATTTACTAAATTTTATGAATTATTACTAAGTAAATGTAATTCTGAAATTAATTAAAATCTAGAATATTATTACTCAAAAGAATACTAAGTAAATGAAATACTTATCATATTTACTAAAATCGACATTATTTACTAGAAACACTGCAAGGTACCGACCCTCTGACATGTGAGTACTACTCACAGATTTCTTTATCAGAGTTCCCTAACTGGGCCCTCTGAATAGTTTAATAGAAGAAATCTACTCATGATGGAAACAATTATACTTTCTATTTCTTTTGCCAATTTCTTTGTAATTGTTTTATTATATATAACAATAAAACATTTAATTCCAACTTCGAAAGCCTTAAAAATTGATAAGTTGTATCTTTTTAAGGACCATTTTAAAAATGGTTAAACATTTCAAGTACTTAATGTCGCATTTTTATTAGTGTGACTTTTTTTTCACATGAAGGAATATTTAGAAGAAAGATAACTCCTCCTCACAGACAATTAGTGATTAGACTACCATATTTAAGTAATTACTGATCTGAATTCTAGATTTAGTAAATAAATTTTTGTTTTAAGTAAATCAATTAAATACAATTCAAACGAGATGTGTTTGTGAAACACCTATGCCCCTGTATGGCAACATTTCAAAGGTT